GATTGGGACACTGGGTTCTTGCTGCATGATATCTGAAGGCTAGCGCGTAGGTGAAGTGTGTTAGTACTTAGTAGGAAAGTGATCGATTGTCTTTTGGGTTTCATTTGTGGGCTTATTATATGCAAATTGCTGGGTCTAGATTTATGTTTGTCAATACTCTGCAAGATTGTGGAAAAGTCGAGGCGAGGACTTCTAGGTTGAGCTAATGGGAGTTGGGTTGTACTTGTTCAGCTGGGAACTTTGCTTTGTGTTCTAAATATGTATTGTGCTTATTTAGCTTTTCTCTCTTCTAGGGACTGCCTAACGTGCACCGTGCGTGTGCATCTGCTTGAGCTGGAAGGCATAGCGGACATTGGGGTTTCCTGTTGAGATCGTGAAACGGCACGATGGCCCGTTTTCGAAATGTATGGTTCAGTTTTGGCACGAGTGTTCTTGGTTGAGAAAAGTGAAAGAGATGTGATCAAATTATATTTGTAGTCTTTTTTTTTCGGGAAAACATAAATTGAGCGTGGTAGTAGTAATTTTATCTTATTCTGCACTTAACGTTCTAATTTGTTGTGAATTCAATTAGAATAAGAAAAAGGCGTTTGTAAAGCCAGTTATGAAAAAGCCCAAGCCCGGGAATGTTGATCACATAACAGGGGATAAGATCCCTAAGAGCTTTGTCTTCTCGAGGGGGAAGCTGCCAGGACCCCTGAAGCAACTTGAAATGGACTTGAGGAAATTAATGCTCCCGTATACTGCCCTCAAACTCAAGGTATAAGTTTCTTCATCATAATATTTTGTTAAACTTGATGAAAGTCTTTCTCCAAGCAATGTGTAGCTTATGCTTAAGGTGACCGCTATAATAAGGTGGATGTTGCTTTGATGTGTTTTTGTCTTTCATTACTGAAGAAATGTGGAGAAATTTATTCTATCAAAGGTTGAACAATTGCATCAGTTGAACCGAGTGTGTTTGTTAAAAGAATACAGTCGAGGTTAATTTGTCAGTACATTGCCATTGAATAGTCCAGGTAGCTTTTAGAATTTAGCATAGTATGTTGATTTTTTGTAGTAATTATAGCTCTTATTCTGGAGCTGTAGTCATCTGTTGCTAATACCCAATTTGAATTGCAGATCGCTTATAACTTTATCCGTAGTAGGTGTCAATCTACATGTTTCTTTTCTTTGTTCTGTGCACCCTTTCGATAGGATTTAAGCTTTGCATTCATATTTCTTTTCCTAATTTGTTCATGCAGGAGAAGAAAAGGAATAACCTCAAAGACTTTTTGAATGTGGCTGGACCTATGGGTGTTACTCATTTTCTCATGCTGTCAAAAACTGAAACTGCACCTTACTTGAGGGTTGCAAGGACACCACAAGGTCCCACACTTACTTTTAAGATTAAGGAATACGCTCTGGCAGCTGATGTTGCACAATCTCAATTGCGTCCTAGAAGTCCAAAGGATCTCTTCAAAAACCCGCCTTTGGTAATCTCATAATTGAAGAACTGTGCCTATTTTAATGTTTCTCCTTATTATCCCCTGGTTGCTTACTTCAAAATTCATTCATTAGGCATTTGTGTTCGACTGAGGTTGTTGCAACGGGATCCAGTAGTTATTTGTTCTGTTCATGGAAAGAGCCTCTTTGCAACATAGATGAGGTTGTGTGTAGTTGATGACCATCTCATATGCACGATACATGAGCCTTCCGGCTACTAGGATGTTTCTTGTTTCACCTGAGGTTGTTTTAAATGTTGTGTAGTTACAATTTTGAGATATTATGAATCCAATAAGAGGTGATGATATATCTTTGGTTTGTCTAGATAATGCTTTGCCCAGAAGAATGAGACACGATGGTGCAAATAAATGGCATGTATCCATCTATTGTCAAGACATTTTTCAACCGAGTAAACAAGTTGTAGCTTGAGTTGATGAGCAGGATTTAGATATGTGTAGTTCATACAAGTTGACCATATCTTTGTGTAAAACGTATCATGTTATCTTTAGATCAGTTGATCAATTATGAGGGTGTTATGAAGTCTTGTAAATACTACGTGGGACATGAATAACTCTGAGAGCTTGTTGCTTGATTTGGACTCTACTCACTTGAGAACGGTCAAGCCTCATTTTCAGCCCTGAATATGTGTCCCTTAGTTGAATTGTTAGACGTAAACAAGCCAAAAATGAGCTCTACCGCGTTTTATTGATGTGTTTATACCTCTAAACCTTCAGACTGAAAAGGATGATGATCTGATACTCTGACTCAAATTAATTGTCTTTGTGCATCTCATCTCCTGCTCTTTTGTATATTTTATTGATTTGAAATAGAAGAGTTTTTCTGCTAAGATCTGTCTGTCCAGAGTTATGACCGAAAGTTGGACTGGGAGATCCCGTGATCTCTCCATTTGGATTGGTCTCATGTCTCATGCACCGAAATCTTTATTGCACGTGCAGATTGTACTTTCTGGATTTGGGACTGGTGAACAACATTTGAAGCTCACAACTATCATGTTTCAGAATATTTTTCCAGCCATCGACATTAACACTGTGAGTGGTTATTATTTTTTTATCGTCTTCCATTACAGACTGCACTTTTTTACTTTGTTAATGTTGGATCTTTGTTGTTATTTTCAGGTCAAGCTTGCTTCTTGTCAGAGAATTGTCCTGCTTAATTACAATAAAGAGACGAAACTTGTAGATTTTCGTCATTATTCAATTAGGCTACAGCCTGTTGGAGTATCTCGTAGAATTAGAAAGTTTGTGCAGAATCATCAAGTCCCTGATCTTAGGAATCTACATGATGTGAGTGACTTTGTGACAAAGTAAGTATTCTTGTCTTATAATCTTTGAAAGACCCTGAAAATTAGAGGATAGGGGCCATCCCTTTCATTCCTTTTTGGTATAGTATAGAGCACGATTGGCTATTTACGTTTGATCATCTTTGAACTCTAAAGATATTCAAAGTGTTCCCGTTACTTTAGAATGTGTTGGATCTGCCTGCAAATGGCAAAGTAAACTTCCGATTCTTAAAATGGAGGTTTATTTGGTTGTCGTTTCGTTGTGAAAGTGGAGTTAATGGGATGAAATAGTATTTGAAGGTGATAAAGTTTATGGAAAGAGAAAATTAAATCCTCCCCCCTTTTCTCTCCCTCTCTCAAAAACCAAGTGTTTAGCAGCTTCATTCATTGCACTATGTTAGTCAGTTACCTCTTTAATCATATGTGGATTTCCATGTGTGTTTGAAGGGCTGGATATGGATCGGAAAGTGAAGCAGACGATGAAGCTGCGACAGTAACCTTGACTAGTGATCTTGGTAGAGTAAATCGATCTTCGTCAAAAAGTGCAGTTAAGCTCCAGGAGATTGGACCTAGGATGACCCTTCAACTTGTCAAAGTTGAGGAAGGATTGTGCTCTGGTGGAGTCATCTTCAATGAATATGGTACGCTAACTAAACATTGCAAACTTATTCCTGCATAAGCACAAAAAGGAGAACTGTAGATGCATTGAGGGACATGGCCTTTGATGTTGTGAGCTGTGAATTGCAACTTTGTTTTCTTTTTGTTTCTTGGAACCTTGCCTTCATGAGCATTCTTTCAATGGCTATGGTGTACGCATACGATAGATGGTGTACGCATACTATAGATGCTTTGATAAAGTAGCTGCTGTGCTATTGCGCAAGTAATTTATAGCTTCATAAATTGAACTCACTATCACCTATCGGTTATTTTTGCTGGTCTTTCACCCATTGTAGACATTTCATTTTGGAAACTTTTTGATTGAATAGTCTATTCTAGTCCAAGAAGTGGCTTTTCTTTTCGCCAGCATTATCATATGTTGTGCACCTTTAAATACCTTCTTTATCCTTCAGGAAATGCTGCTGACACCAAAAAGCAAGGCAAGCAAGAAGACGCTGAAGAAGATCCGGATGATGTTGAAGAAGACAGAGACGAAGAAGATCAGGAAGATGATGAGGAAGATTAGCTGTCCACCGATGTTATAAAGTTCATATTGAACTATAGTTTTGGGTCTATACACCTGATCTCTCATGGATATCACATCTCTGCTGGATAGAGTCAGAGGCTCGGATGTATATTTATCGTGTCTTCATATTTAGAAGAACCGCTGGATAGAGTCAGAGGCTCGGATGTATATTTATCGTGTCTTCATATTTAGAAGAACCGTGAATTCCCATGCGCTTATAGGCACGGATCCTGCTTTAGTCCCAAATTTTATCAAATTCATCTCTCGTCTATAGAAAAGGTTGTCTCATTAAGGCACGACATGTCTCACAGCTCTGTGTATTTCTTAGTTTCTTTGTTCATCGTGCGACCTTCACTAACCATATTCATTTTTCTGCACGGCCAATGAGTTGCCAAGAAAATGGGTTGTGCTTCATCGATTGGAAGGATTCTCTATATTGTTTTTTTTTTATCGAAAATGTAAATAATATCGAAAGTCAAAGAGTTTTTAGACAAAAAGCACAAAATAAGGGCATCAAAACACTGTAAATTTCAAAAGGGTTGGAGGTGGGCCAACCAAGAAAGGGGTAAAGTATCTATACGTTCGAACTTGGTTACCCAATCCGCTATTCTGTTAGCAGCCCTTCCACACAATTGAGTACTCCCACTTACCGCGGCATGTGAGCTTCGCTTTGCATAGCTTAAGTCAGAACAAAACTATCAGTCTCGTAGCACAGCTCTTCGTCTCTTCTAGACGTAAAATACGAGACAGCCTACATCAGAGCCAAAGTTTCCGCGTGAATAGCCGGAGAAGCTGAGATTCTTTTGCGAATCCATCCAGCAGAGCTCCCGATTCATCACGATGGGCTCCCGCAATTGCTCCTTCCGAGCTGCTGGCGACGAAGGACCCATCGATGTTGATCTAGAAAGACCGACTCTTCGGTGGATGCCAATTTTGGAGTTAATTTAGCCTCATCGATGTCAAGTTTCGAACTTTGAGGGTTCCACTTGCTATAATTTCTGGCTGTGTATGGAGATACTACTGTCGCATATAAAGAGATTCCACGACAATAAAATATATGTGATGCATTGGCATACTGTATAATCAAAGTGAAATTTCGCATGCCTGCTCTTTTGATAAGCAACAACACTCCAACTTCACTAGCTTAATGTACATAAGTGGCTTTTCCGTGACGAATGTCGTTTACAACAAGACAACACTGGGGTGTCTTTACCAGTTCCCTTACAGACGGAAATATTAGGGGTAAGTCACTCTCAAATCATGGTTGAAGAAACCCATTAAGGCTTCCAGCCAGGAAAATGAGAAATTATACTTACATTGACTATTATCTCATGCATGGAGTACCTCCGATGAGGCAATTTTCCAAACCTAAACCCTGCTCCATCCAAGAGCCGGTGAACTCACAAAAACTGACCGGTGGGCGACGGAAGGAGGCAATCACTCAAACGAGAGATTAGCTATCTGGAAGGTTCGACCATTCTAAAGTCGTGCTTCTTCCTGCGGCATCTGTGATGAGCCTTCTGATCGGTGAATGTGTTCTCACCAACCATCTCCATTTTGGAATCTGTATATGACACAAACATACCAAAGCAAGATAAGACGAGACAAGCCACTACAATGAAAGAATCATGCAAAAATAACTCAAGATCCTGAAGATGATTTCTCAATCTCTCTCCACCAGCTGAACATGACCATGATGACTCTCTGGGGAAGAGACTTGAGGGATAGGTTTCCATTCCAAAGCCAGTCATAATTGATGACTAATAACATATCAGTTGGGAGAGAATGGATAAGTCTAACATGCAAAATATGCAGATTCTGTCGTCACACTAAAATGCTGAAGAGACACAAACGTCTAAAATAAATGTTTCACTTAGAAAGCAACAGATGAGGGCTAAAACAACATTGGCACTTCATAGCAAAGGAAAGACTTCGTTTGTATTAAAGCATAAAAGGTTTTGCAAGAGATAGCACACAGTCATGTACCCATTGTGACAGCAAGATATTAGCATCCAAAAAATAGATAAACAGGATATATGAGTACAAGAAGTTCAAGTGAGATATGACGAAAGCAGGTTTGCTCTCAATCTCAAACCAAATGTAAAAGCCTTCAATGAATGAGATGCCTTCCGTTTTCAACTCACTTAACATCTTAAGTTTCCTAAAACTCCAGGCCTTGTGCACGTTGCTTAAGAACCGACTCACTCCAAAATTGTCCTTATGCACAGGTAAGTATCCTTAATCTTCCGCTATCAGCATGGATTTCAGGGAAAAGAAGGGTTGAAGTTTCATCAGAAAAAGGAACGCGCTATTATGAGCAACACCATATAAATAGATGCTGCTAAGAAGTCGACAGCACCTACAGACTGGAAACCATCGAGAGTAAGCAAGAGAGACTTTAATTGGCTCTAACATGTGACTCCTGGAAGAAAGGATGCGTGAGCCTCATTCGATTTATTCAACTCTGAAATCATAACGGAGCACACGGAGACCATGAAAAACTGCATCATACATAATATTACTCCTTCCAGCATTCAAGACCATTCTATCATGTTGTCAACCGATGAACGGCGAAATGTTGGAGTTTCAAGCAATCTACACAACTTCAATCATAAAAGCCCAATATGATGCATCATAAGTCAATGAAATGCAATTCCAAATCCACTCACAAACCAACAAAAGAAATTAGCCATTTATATCCAGGCAGCCAAGAGAATCATGCTAAAGAACCATATTGAAACGTCAGGACTAGTCAAATTTCATCTTTTCCCTATAACACTGACTGAGCAACAAAATTCCACACTATCCTTAAATCTTATTTGCCTTCAACAATAGGAAAACAGAAAAACTTCTTCTCTTCCAAATACCAATTTTGAAGCAAGGCAAAACATTAGGATTCAACTAAACATGACAAAACTTAACAAACTCATCAAAGATCCAGAGAAATCAAATCAAAGCCAAAAGTTATATACCTCCAAATTGGTGGCCCCAAAACAATGCCCTAGCATCCTCCTCCTCCTCATCCACCTCATCCCCATAACCGAACTCGGCGTCGCCGCGATAGCCCGGCTCACTTCCGTACCCTGACTCGTTCCCCGGCACCACATCGCCAAAATTCCCAGCTTGCCCAAACCCCAAGCCCAAATTCTCCCTCTCCACACTCCCTCCTCCTCCACCATCTTTGTCCCTCCTCGGGCCGCCATTATTGCGTACCTCGCTCACGTCCGACGCCCAATCCCCGTTCCCAAACAGCTCCCCGCTCGAGTCCGTCCCCACCGCCATCGGGATGTCCGAGGCCGCGGCGGACGCCCCGACGGAGCAGCACCGCCGTGTCCCGCTCCGATCGCTGCTCCGCCCGGACACGGACCTCGACCCCCTCCGCCTCCGCTTCCTGGCGATCAGCTGGAGGCTCTCCCTCATCTTCAGATTCCCCACGTCGGCGATCGACCTGTCATCGTCGAACAGGCTGAGCCTCGACATGTCGAGGGCGGCGTCGATCGAGAACGAAGTCACCCGATCGGAGAGGCAGGGCCGCTTGGAGTGGAGCCCCGCATGGCCGCCGCCGCCGCCATTGGAGGAGGAGTTGGGTATGTGGGGGTGATCGGGGTCGGGGACTTTGGGGAGGAAGGGCTTCCACGAGTGGAGCTGGACGGCGCAGGAGTCGATGGAGTGACGGGAAGCTAGAGTCCTGGGCGAGGGCGACATTGGCAAAGCATGGCAAGCAATGGGTTCTGGCTCAGTCGATCGTGTGTGGAGAAGGCACGGAGACGGAGGGGTTTAGCTCAGAAAGTTGCGACCTTTGCGAAGAAGAAAGAAGAAGAAGAAGAAGAAGCTGATTTCGCTCGCGCGCTCGCTCGCAGTTGGGAGTCGGTATTGGTAAGACTGGCGGCCGCAGCTGATTTGTATAAGATTCTGGATACCGAAACAAGGTACGGATATTTTTGAGAGAGATGGCCCCCTCACCCCCCGAGCAATTGTAAAATCGCGCGAGCGTTTAGAAACTCGGAACGTCCATCCTCACTTCGACACGTCATGGACGTTTAGATCATGCGCTTCTGCCAAAAAAAACAAAAAGGAAAAATCAGTGGATGGTTAAATTAGTTCATAATCGGCCTAAAGTGAGCTCGGTCCGGTTTGATCCGGTTTCCATCGCCAAACAAAACCAAATCTCATGTTCGAACAAAAGATGAGATCAGATCAGACGAGAGCATTCGTAGTTTGAAGTCGTACCGGACCGACCATTTTTTTACGATTCGATTTTGTTGTCGGTTTTTCTTGTTTTATATATTTTTTTTTTCTCTTTGATTATTTGTGATCCCGTGAGTTTAGATCAAAAGTCAAAAGCAGCTTAGATGGAGTACTGATTCCGTGAAAACCTAAACCCTTCACCCATGATGCAAAACCAAAATCTAAGCCACTCCACGTTTTCGCGGTTCGGTTCGGCTCGCTTTCAGAACCTGACTTTATAAAAAAAGTCCGCTTAAACCATACATTCAGACCTCCTTTTGGCTCCACCCCTGGTTGGAATTACCCAATGCTTTTCTGTGAATGTCAATTTGTCTCCTTCCAAACAAGAAGATAAGTGTCCCATCCAATCAAATTGTAAGTTGCTATTCCAATCGAACTCTTTCGATTAAATTTAAACACAGTTCTATTCTGAAATTGAAAACTGGGATCCAAAGCATTAACGTCATTCATCCTACTCGTGGTCTCAAGTCACTTCGCATTCAAATCGTCCATGGCAGCTTCAGTATCAAACAACCTCAACATTACTCTCGTAAGAGGCGTTTGTTTTTTGCTTAAGGTCGAAAAATGGGTCAAACTGAAAAGGACGGAGCTCGAGAAGAGCTTCCAATGGCCCAGAAGACCTTGACATGTTTGTGATACTCAGGATAATTTGAATCCACCGACACACCATGCGAAGAAACAATGTCGCAACCGGCAGGGACTTTTGATAGTTCAATTGCCTAGAATAAACATCCCGTCATCTGTCTAACATAATACGGCAAAACCTAGGGGCATTCACTGAAGAATCTTCCAAAAAGGGAAATCCTCAAAAAACTACTTATGAACCATCACCAAACTGAAAATTACTGAACATCATGCAGACATTTTTGAATCGCAGCTTGGAAATCATCGGACCCAACGTCTGCGGGAGGGTACATGTAAAAAACATACGAGATGGACTTGGATACCACCATCGGTTTCTTGGTGGGTATACGATCCGACAATTCCCCAAAGCACTGCTCGTCGAAAGGAAATGACTCGCTGAGAAAGAAGAAGCTGCTCCTTCCCAGCTTCTCCACCTGGAACAATAATCACAAAGGCATCAAAACAACACCGGGGGCTAACAACGGATATCTACAAAAGATGTCTTGAGCACACTATTATAAGCTTTTAAAGCTGCTACTTAAAACCGAGCTAAAAAATTCATCGGTGTGACTACTGATCAGGAAAGCTAAACTCGAGAACAAAAATGAAAATCTAGATTACTGGCCATGCGTGGAACTAGTATGCTCTCTGCCAAGCATGTGCAATTGCCTGATGATCACAGATTCTTTACAAGACCCAGTGATCAAGCAAACGCAGCAATGAGAAAACATTATACCATCTTTCAGTAGCAGTAATTACCTGCAGTTGCGAAAACCTAAGGTTATTCATGGTAAGAATAACCGGCACTTCATATAAAGCATCAGCAAGTAGCCGAATCACCAAATACTCAAAGAAGTTCTTCACGAAACTTCTCTGTCCCTCCAAATTTTTTCCATATCCATAAATTTCAAAATCAGGAAACCACAAGACGCATTTTACTGACTTCCACAGAACTTGGCTCTCCGGAGATTTCCCTATGATGGTCTGGTATGGGTGATGGAGTCCCCACATAATCTTGACATCAGTCAATGACGGGTCAAATATGGAGGATTCAAGAAGAGATGTGGTGGCAACCATTCTTAAAGGATCATAATTGCGGGCAATGTTGGAGGTAAAATGAAAGTCGGTGTCATCCAAGATGAGAATTTCCCCAACTTCGGCAAAAGGAAAAAACTGAATAAGTAATGCTGGGTCAGCATCGCCATTTTCTGGGATGCATGAACTTGGCTCACTAACAGACGAAAATGATGTGCCCATGTCATGAGAGAAGGAACATGAATCACCGTTCCGACAACCCTGCAAGTCCAATTACACAATCAATTAATGAATTACTTGCATTTTGCATGGGGGAATAAAGTAGCAGCAGTGATAAAAACAAGACTTAAGAGCATATGTGGAGAGTGTGGCATGACTTGGACATAATCAGCTACAGGTACAATGACATACGAGCAATCCCAATACCAGCTTTTGAATCTCTTGCTTCAGACAAGGAGCGACCAATTTAGGCTCAAAAGCCTCTAATCTCTTAGGAGGACTATATGCAAGCAATCCCAATACCAGCTTTTGGAACTGTTGCTTGTGACGAGGAGCAACCAATTTAAGCTCAGAAGCCTCTAATCTCTTAGAAGGACTGTACACAAAATCCAGATATTTCTTTGCTTTTTTCGTTTCAACTCCCATGAAGCATCGATAGAATCCATTTTATAAGTACCCAATCAAGGTTAGTTTATTTTTGCAATAACTTCTGTTATTACCTTTAGTGCCATAGCCTGTAGTTGTTTATAGCTGTGGCCTCAAAATGACCATAACAGAGCCGTGTTCTTAAAGTGCTATATATCTTCAGACATAAAGTACTCAAAAGGAATGCTCCTAATCAGAGCGACTCCTTCAGAAGCTGCTGAAGAATGATCACCATTTTAAAGTTCCTAATGCACCAGGTTTAGAGTGCTTGCCAAGCATCTAAGAAGAACTGAAGCACTCTGAAAAAACTAAAGCAGGCCCCTAGCAGTGCTCCCAAGCGCGTGTAACAAGGCAGCTTTCAATACGAGGCCTCCAAATGACAGAATCATAAAATTTGAAATTTTCAAGAAAAAGAATGAATTCTCTCACCAAATTCAAGAATCTCAGGAGATGGAAAAGGTGTTATTCGTGGTCTTAGTTTGATTAAATTAATTATATAACTAGATAGGAAGAAACTTATTGAAGCATATACCACTGGCACTGAGCATGAATAACAAAGCAATGGAATCTGATATGCTGACAATTTAGTAAGAGCAATCACTTTACAATTACATATGGAGGGGTTCTATCGTCCTATGGATCAAGACAACCATGTTTTTGAAAATGGGGAAGAATCTCATGTATTACATGCATTCTGTGAACAGAGTCTCGTGAATCACAGTAGTGCGAAAGTTAACTATAAGATATAAAGCATGCCACCAACTTGTCAATCTTTATTTGCTTCAGTCAACAGGTAAAGCATTCTTCAATCGCATTCATGATAAGGTATAACATATCACCAAACATTCACTTGGTAAGTGGGTACAAACTTTGAGACTGAAAATTCATATGCGGTTAACAAGTGCATGCTTATTATATACGGTGAAATTAAAGTCAGAGTGAAGTATGAACCTGTAAAGAGAAGAAGAATTTGCACATAGGTTGTTTTGCTTGAAGGGAATGAGAAAATGGGCAATTACTGCCCCTGTTGCAAGATCCCCTAAGAAAATATATACATAATTCACCGTTGTTGTTAACAGAGAAACCACTCTCAGTAGAACTATTGGGCTGATCACTGTGTGCCACACCAGAGTAATGAGCTCTTATCTATCAAAAAATTGCCGACAAAGGAATCTTAATTCAATAGATATCTGCAAAAGGAGCACATAAAGTATGATATTGTACCTCTTTGACAACAGCTGTCAATTTGTCAGTCACATCCTTTGTCTGGAAGTCATTTGGGGCAACAAATGGCACAGCAACACATTTCCTGCTGTCGGCAGAAGAATTAAGTTGTTCGTCATCTAGGCCAGCTGCATCTTCATCTTCATTTGACGGACACTCAAGGAGGCACTTGTGTTGGAACTCATGAGGATAGTAATAAGAAGGAAAAGAATCGGATGTAGCAAGGAAGTTGGGCCGAAATCGATGCAATGAACTCAGGACATCTTCATCTGAGGAAAAGCAAACTGATAATCAAAAGGCCAATTAATGGAAAAAAGAAAGGGGAAGAGAGGTGACAAGAGAGAACTCAAAGGACAAAGTTGCAGCTGTACATATTTCAGCGATGTGATTAAGTGACAACTGCACAAGATTATGAAAGAAGCACCATTCTTCTTCAGTCTTCAGCACCATCTTCTCTGTAGCTTTCATGTCATCAAATTGAAGAACTTGATTCAAATGCTTAACGCGATACTCGTCCTTCAGAGAAAAGCAACACATAGATAAGAGAATGAATACCCGAAAGATCTTCAAGAATAAATGATGAGAATACCTTGAAAATGCGCTGCCAAAACTTAAAGGCAGACAAGTTTGCCATTAACATCACCTCCTTCTGACCAACTGGGGGGTTGTTAGTATCTCCGCTAAAGTAGCAGTCAACGTACTTTCTGAACTGGAAAGAAAAGGGGAATAGCCAATGAAAGTAATGTCTTTTTCCTGTTGATGGATCTAAAATAGAAATTCGCCATTTGCTTGATAGGAAGTACCAAAAATTCCTTCCCAAAAGGATGCACAATGGGTAGAGGTTGCGTATCCATCAATACACCAAGAAGAATGCCCTCATGCAGCAATCCAACTTCACCAAACTTGATTATGAGCAGAGATGCATCAAAAGACAGAGAGAAACAGGAAAGCAGACGTCCATAGAATGTTGGCTCAAGCCTCCCTCTAGGAGATGTCTTTAGTGCACCCATACGAACAAGCAAATCTAATGCATCTTGAACAACATCAGGATCAGGAGGGTCTAAAGCCTTCTGCAACAATACTAACATTTATTTTTCATGGATTAGCATTTTAATCAAAATTCTGAATATGTGAATGCAGAAGATCAGGGAATACTAAAAGCGTAATCATGGAAATGTGTCTCATATACATCTTAGAGTTCCAGAATAGATGCGAGTTCCCTTTTAAGATCATCCAATGTCAACTACAATCAGATACTGATAGATGCAACCGGACGCGTTAGTAATATAGCTTCACAATAATTTCTGCATGAAGTTCCAGTAATCCTACCTAAGCACAAAAAGTAAAAGATCCAAAGACAATACTTCTTAATTTAGATCAGGACACACGATCCCCCTTTCTGTATCTTCCAAATAGCTTAAAAACAGCATGCCTCGCCATTCCATATATATACATGAAGGTGTGTAAGGTACCTATTTCTTTATTAGCCATTGGAAGGGTGACCAAAGGACAGATAAATTAATGCTTTGTGAATATTGAGAATGAGATTTCTTGAGGTGTTTCCTCGAGCTGCAGGTTAGCGGCAGGTTAGCTGTATAGGGTTTCAATATGGAGGGAAGTTGATCGAACAAGAAAAAATTGGCAAGGCAGAATGCCATGACTAGTGTAATTGATCTTAAAAATGCGACACATATCCGGAATGGATGCTGAATGGGCAAGTCCACTGGAACAAAACGGAGGTGATCAGTTTTGGATTTAAGTCGCATTGGAAGGGAGGCCCTCAATGCTCTAGAAAGGTAAGGCTGTGCTAAAAGAGGGAGGAAAGAAAAAGACTCCTCAGTTTTGATTTTGCCCTCTTCCCTGCATTTGTTTATTTCCCATTCATTTGCATGATTTTTTATGCATAGGTTGGAGAACCATTTTGCACTTCCAGTTCTAAGAGAAGATGGATGCATCTGGGCAGATATGTTGATGTTAAAGGCGGAACAGGAAAAGAGCACATTACAACAGAACACTTCTAGACAGAAGGAACATACCTCTGGGATCGTTAATGGCCCTTGAATCAGCACAACAGATTAGAAGTACTTGCTGTCGCAGTGATAATCTCAGTATAGTTGGACACTCGTGATCCTCTAGATTACTGAAAAACGATCCTGTTACCAATCTATAAATCTCTCCATCACAGGTCCGACCTGTTCTTCCTCTCCGTTGTTCAGCCTGCACAAAACTTTGAATTTCATGCACTTCACATAGAAACTGAGACTAAGTTGCTGAGCTTTATATGATACCTGAGATTTGGATACCCACATGAGCTCGGAGTGTTCACTTTTCCTATTACCATCCCAGTAAACTTGTAATGACCGACATGAATCAATTATGAAAGCTACTTTTGGAATTGTCACTGATGACTCCGCAATGTTTGTAGCTAATATTATCTGGTCAAAAAGAACTTTCAAAGTCAAAAGGAACTCAAAATATATGATATTTTCTCTGACTGGCCAAAGAAAAGAGATCCAACTTAATCATAAATCTATATTAAGGGAAAAGTCATATTTGTTTCCCTTATTTGGCATTCCAATATAACCCTTGCTACTAACCATACTCATTTCATCAAGTAGCCACCCACTTTATACATGTCTGATAACTATCCGCTATAACTATATTCACCCCACCAGATAATCACACAATTCCTCTCAATAATTTTTTTTTTCTTCATTCATAACCTCTAACTGTCATGCACGCACTTCAACACTAATAATGGCATAAGAAAACGTACAGTCCAACAGCAAACAATAGTACGGTCTTATACTAAATTCACATTGATATGTACCCATAAATTCATAACCATTCCTAACAAAAGCAGAGACAAACTAATCCATTGCCTTCATGAAAATCACAACTTGAGGAGAAGCACACAGAGAAACATGCCTAAAAGATCTGCACCTATGCAATGATATCAGTAGGGTAAGCAAGATCCTTGGCTTCCCTTTTCTGTGTCAGCTCATTGGCATACATGCTGCTGAAGATTCCCAAGTCAATAAAAGCAAAGTTTTAATCTAAAATCCATTGATACAGTTTTCCATTGTGATAGCTTTTCAAAGAACACAATCGCCATGTTTTATTGCTTTCTCAAATACTTCTGCAGACTCAGACCAAAAAAAAATACTTCTGCAAACTAAACAACGTATAACCCAAAAAAGAAAGAAAAAGAGACTAAATAATATGATGCCTTCAGATGGAGCACAGTAATTTTGATGTAGTTACCCATATTCTGATCATGCAAGAAGCAAATATGCAAATTAAGAAAACTCCAACGCCGAAACATGAGAACTTTATTTGAGCTTCCCAAAAGTGTCTTACCTTACGGTGGGACTTCCAAATCTTCATAGCCAGCAAAGCTTGTTCTGTGTCTATACTACTATGCAAAATATGAACTTTGAACAATGAACTTGACGACTTCAAAAGACGCCATTGCTCCTCTAGTGAACGGTACGTCGGCAGAAAAATTAATATGCTCTTTTCAATGTCGGGCTCATTTTCATGGATATGCATTACCAAATCATGAATGAGTCTGTGAACTTCAGGTTTGATATTTGCATTGGCTGTTGAAGGGCTCTCCCCATTGCAATATGTCACTGGTGATGACTCTGAACTAATTCCGAGCAATTTGGTTACCTGTTCAGCAAAATCTAATGAATGCAGCATGCCTCCCAAGATACATTTGGAAAAACCTTGAAGATACTTATCTCTTTATGAGAAACATAATAATTAACCTTTCTACAGAGAAAAAACAACTGTCAGGAATTATCATGCTTCCCTAGGTCACCCTTCTATCATCACTCGGTATTTACCATCCTTATTATAATTGGCGGACATATTTGTAAAGCCCCTTGCTCATAATGGCTTTACTCATTTTAGATACAAACTCGGTTGGCCTATCCCAATGACCAGTTCGATGGGGAGTATTGATCCACACATTCAATCTCAGGCCAAACCAAAGCCAAATTAGGAAGATTTCAATTACAATCGCACATGACAGATTTGATGCTGAGGTGTTTTTATTTTTATTGGGTTCTGTAATTAATTTGTTTGACTTGTCTTTTAGATTTTATTTATCAAAAGAATCACGGGATTGTTATTTCTCTTGTATACATATGAACTCTACCAAGGAAATGATATCAAAGGGAATTTGCATATACTCTCTTGTTTTCATTTGTCTTTAATAACTCCCCCATCATTCACTATCCGCTATCACCGCTACCACAATGACCTCTCCTGCATTTCCCGCCATAGAAATTGCAGCCTAGGCTTAATCACGGTCGACATCCCATCTCAACTGAAACCGTGACCTCTGTACTAACTTCCAAAATCATCTCCCTGCCTATACCCATCCAAATTAAAATCCTTTAGGTAGGCTAGCTGACGATTGTTCCGAACCATTGGAGCAAGTCCTTGAACAGTTTCTCGCAGACAATATACAGCCGTAGCGCCACTTCATCAGCCCTTTCGATATTTCCCCCAGACTGAGCTGCTCTGCTCACGTGTCTAGAGTTCATTGCAGATCTTCGTTGACGGGGCAGTTGCTTCCATTGCCGTCGTTAATAGACATGGCTCCCATCTCCAGGGATTTTGTCAACTCTGACACCAACTGACGTAGTAGAAATGGGGTAAATGCGGATAAATCAATCCGCAAAAAACGCCAAGGCGCAACATTCTCACAGGCACAAATTCAGGGAAAAGTCTCTCGTAATTCTTTCATTATTTTAAAAAATATGCTGCTTTGCATCAAAATAAAAGCGCATATTTATATGCGTACTAAACTAGAAGAAAAAAGAAGAAAATACACAAATAAACTAGGAAATTAATTGATAAATATTTCCTTATTTCAACTAAGATTCTAACAATGGATAAAGAAGTAAAAGTAAAATCCTACTCACACTAATTAGAAAATATCAGCCATTAGGGTAATAAACGGCACCAAATATCGACGTTATCTTGATGGACTCCCACGTAACGATTTCAAGTGTAAAAGACGAACTTTATGAGTATTCTACGACACTTACAATTAGAAGTTAGAACAGCCACAGCTGCAAAATCAGCCCTAGGTTGCTTCTTACAATCTGCTTTTAAATTGTTTCAACTTCCACTTGCTTCTGCTTTTAGATGTCTGCTTGTTGTGACTTTCTGAAAGCAGGAGCAAGAACTCCCATATTGCCACATAGGTATTATGCTTCGCCAGTAAGACTGCCACAGGAACTATTTACTACTAAGGCCAACATGCATTTTTGTTCTTATATCTATTTGTTCACTAATACACAATGATATCAGGAAGTAATCCATATTGCAAGTATTAAGAAATGAGATCAGGAACCAGATTGAAATGCCAGAGAATTAAGGATCCCAGTCAACAACTGTTCAAGCATTTGATAAGTGCAAAAACATGGGTGGCTCAAATAAATGAAGAGGGATTATGAGTTTCCAGTCTTATTTTACTACATGTTTCAAAGACTAAGTTCAGTTCAGGATCTGTTTGTTTTGACTTCTTAAGCTACTTATGACTTTATGGAAAATATAAATATATATGGCTTTCCCACCAAATATTTAACAATGTTATATTAAAAAATCATGAAAAAAAGTTGACATGTCTTTAAATGACTCAAATTGCCAAAAATCGTATGCTTTCGAAAATTCAAGGTGTTGCATGTTAAATAAAAGTCAAATCTAAATACTAAAAGCAAAAGGTAAATTCTATAGTTAAAAAGCAAAAGTTACGCTAACACGCCTTGAAATTCCATCTGAAACAAGAATGCCAAATGATCTACCATTGAGCAGGTACTCTTTAAAATTAATGCTACAAATTTAGCCTATATGGCAAATAAGCGAGCTTTTACCTGCTCAAGATATAACACTCGTTTTTGATAAATAGTTTGCCGGTCGGAGTTAGGAATGGCAAGCACCTCTACTCTTTCATCCCTAGCAATATCTCCAAAGTAGTCCCTGTATCTTGTAATATCAGCTGTTGCAGACATTAATACCACCCTGTAAAATATCAGACAGGAACTAAGTTTCCAAAGCCACAAAGCAACCCACTATATATGAAACATCAAATCAAAGATACGGTTTCTGTATACATCAAATCAAAGATATTGTTTTCTGTATACATTGCAAATGCAATTTATTCTTTCCACTTGGTCATTCAATCAAATGCATCCACATTCTATCTGAACGCCTATCTGATACAAGCTTGTTACTGATAAACCGCCTGCTGACATTCTTGTTTTCACAAAAGATGCAGAATATTATAAATCCTGAAGATAAAGAAAAACGATTTCAGCACATCATAACAGCAAACTCGCCCAAGTATCACCAGCAATGATTATCGATAAAGCTACTTGGAAAAGCTTCTATCACACCATCATTTTGTGTAGAATGAGCCATGAACTTCGAATGATATCAAATACAAGGAAATGCACAGAAATCCAAAAAAAAATTGATAACCTGACCTGAGGTTCTTGTTCTTCAGGAGAAACTGCTTCACACAGACAAGAAGAAGATCAGACTCTACAGATCTCTCATGCACTTCATCTAGTATGATAGCCTTGTAATCAAGCGCACTCACACCCTTCTCACGAATCTCCTCTAACAAAACTCCCGCAGTTTTGAAAGCAATCTTTGAACTGTAAAAGAAGACAGATAGAAACGTAAAAGGACTTTAGTTTAAGATAGACACAACACAAATGCCTAAGGCACTTTCAAATAACGAATCAATGTAAAATTAGCACGAGCCACTAAAAAAAAGAGAAGTGACTTAACCAAGATTACATCAATCATAAATCAATGGTAGTGACCCTTGCACTTACGTGTTTGACCATTTAAGACACCATGTTTTACTTGCTTGAACATGCATTAATGACATAGATATGACAGAAAACTAATTATCATATGAAATCGAAGAAGATAAAATGATTAATGAATCCAACATTACATGTGCGTGGAAAAAAGTCAATTACAATGTGGAATGTGGGCCTATTTGTCCAACTTATTACTTCAATTTATGACTCTCCCTTTAAAATTTCGAAAAAGAGAATTAATTTTTAATTTTTGGAAACTTGTGAACAAATTATACAGGATTCTACATATCGATATTTGGATATTTTGACATGTTTTGAGTGTTTCGCATTGGCAGCTTGACAAATAACATAGTACATTCCGCATGATGTAACTATTTATCAGTTGTGTGGATGTTGAAGTTACCATGCTCATGGACATTCTCACTACTTAAGATGATCATAGAACTTGGAAACTCTTCACACTATAAGATATAGATGGGTCAAGAATTCATATTTCTGTAATGGTCTGGCTGAATTTGTTGGACCAATTTAACTTAAAGGACTGTCAACCTGTATTATTAATTACTTCAGTAGAGTGGAAAACAATATACAATACCTATCGGCCAAGTTCACTGAAGATTAGCTCAAAAGTAAGGGAGGACAGATAAAGAACGCAAATATTAAAAACCTGCTGGACAGTAGAAATCTAAATAATACGTGACTATTGGTAGTGCCAGCCAACAGCTACAGAAGCCCAACGAAAAAGACAAATATACATATACACACATGTTTCTTTCTTTTAATTTTTTCCGCGTGTGCACATGTGTGTGTGTGTGTGTGTGTGTGTGGGGGGGCGGGGGGAGAGAGAGAGGCGTTGCACCGCTACCTGGATGACATATTCTTTAAATGACCAATGTGATAGCCAACTTCCCCTCCCAACTCACAATTACGGGATTTTGCAACCATTTTCGCCACAGCTACTACTGCAAATCTGCGAGGTTGTGTACATACTACGGGATAGATACTTCTCTCTAGCAGAAATTGGGGCACTTGAGAGCTCTTCCCTGAATATTTAGAATACACAATCAGATCGAACCCAAGCAGCAAACTGTGGAGGACTAACAAAAGCAGGTCGTAGCATCCATCAGATGTAGAGAAGTAGATAGCACAGGTTCCAATGAAATTCGATTGCCAATCCACTTTTGTAACTTCAGGCCAAGTACAAATATAATCATCCTATTGGATTACACAGGAAATTGGTTTACAAACAACATTCAGCCAATAAAAACTTGTAATGATACAACTAGAAAAACCAAACTATTTGGATCCCGAATAATCTTTTTCAATCCTCTTAAAAGCTAGATAATAAAAGACTCTATTCAGCTTTAGTATAATAAGAAGAATAACAGTGATGATAATAATAGGAATAATAGCAGTAGCAGTTATAATATTAACAATAACAATAAACAATTCACTTCCTGGCATCAAGCCAAATCCCCAAATTCCAGGATGTGACAAAAGAAGATTGCAACATATACATTTGCCAGCTTCCTTCTCCTATAAGTCTTTAGCAATCGAAATCAGTGAATACAAAACTGAATAAAATACATGGTCCCCGAGGTTACCAGCCAAAATGAGCTCGTATCTTTTCCAATTTTCCGTTAGATAATCAAATTAACCAGATTAAGAATTCTGTAGACAGACATTCCATGCGTCAGCGCTATTGCAGAGATCAACTAAGAAACTGAGTACGAAATTTTCATTCATTTTAACAAAAACAAAAACGATGACGCAATCACATTCCCACAGTTTTGTGAGCATCAGCATATGCTGTACGAGACCAAATAATACAGAGCTACACCAAAGTGACCTCTTCATCATTCATGAAAGTTTTTTAGGTTCTTCGGTTCGGCTTCCGAAGCAGCAAGACACCGGGAAATACGAGTGCAAAGTCCACGAGCTAGCGATGAAAGGGGAGGCAACGCGCTGGATGATCGCACACCAAAACGCTAGCGAGAGGATAAAGGAATCGCACCGCGCTCGATTCGCATCGCACGAGTTCGAAAGCTTCAACAAGGGAGAAACGAAGCACTCCTTCGCCTAAAATCTCCCAACAACGACCCCGATCATCCGAAATCGCAGCGCCAAATTCGACGCCTTAACCCATGGTTCACACCTCAGACTCAACGCAACCACAGTGCAATGCAGCAGTGCGCTCTACACAGAGAGAGCGAGAGAGAGAGAGTGAGAGAGAGTACCGCATCCGGTTTCGCCGACGATGAGGGTGACGCGATTCTCGAGGATCTTCTCGACGATCTTCTCGCGGAGGGCCATGATGGGGAGGGGCGGGAACCTGGAGGAAGAAGGGAACTGAGACGAGTACGAGGAGCTACACGACGACGGCGTCGGAGAAGAAGGCCTCGCCGCCATTGTCGAAGTCCTTCGAGCAACTGTGCGTCCCGATCGCAATGGAATCGCTCGCGGTCGCTGCTACTGCTAGCGAGAGCGAAATGAAGTGGGAGCAAAGCCTGCTCGCAAAAGTTTTCTCAGGACGAAGGAGGAGGTTGCTCCCGCGCAGTCCCTGATCCCCTGCTCTGCGTCGTATTTGGGAACCGCACGTGTCGGCCTGCGGATGGGCTCTGGGATCTGGGGGAGAGGACCTTTGCCTCTGACTTTGACTCTCGTCGGTTGACCTGTACGGCGGGGGAGCGGCGTACGCTGGTCGCGGGAGCAGGGGATCGAGGACCGGTTACCTTCTCCCCGAAGGTCGAAGGGGGAAGGTGGGCCCCGATGTTGTTCTGTGGGGGGTCGTCCGCTTTAGTCGCGGACGTGGAAAGAAATTGATCATGATTAATAAGACTAGAGAGCGACTCGTTTACACCGGGCTTGATTACGCGAGATCGACGGTCGCGATGTCCCCGGGCCCAGACGGATGACTTCACGTGAATGAGCTCACGCGCTCGGCGTCGCCCACGTACATATGCGTCGTGGACATCTTCTTGTAAGGTTTTTCGAAATTTCGAAAATGTGAAAAGTCCTTGGGAAAAAATAAAAAATAAAATGGCGCTTTTTATAGTTTTTGATGATTTCCAACGCCTCTGAAAGTAAAAAAAGCTCGATAATGAGGTAAACTCTCCTTAAGAAAACCTCCAACTGCTAATATTGAATCGAATTTCATGACAGTTCCCAAGAATAAAAATTTCAATTACGTGAAAAGGAATAAATAATTGTACTATATTATTTGCGTGCTTCATTCATTACATCGTTTTGTTAATATTGATTTAATGTTTTCAGTATTTTAAATGAGGTGATAAGCGCAAAAGCAACAAGGAGTCGAGCTTGACACCCCCGGCTTTTAGGATGTATCGTGTTAACACGATGATTTAGAAATTTTACCGGGTGAATCTGACTCGAGTTAAGCTTAATTCACGTGATTCGTCGAATATTACCAAATTTAAGGGAATTTATGTGCCAACATATACACTGTGTGATAGTTTTAGGTATTTTGAATTCACAAAAAGTCAAAATGAGTGTGTCCTAAAATTTAAGCTGAATAAAAATTAAAGCTCAATCCAAACTCCCCGTCAAATACAAGAACCAACTGACTGCAAGACTGCTGAAAGAAGATCAACATCGAAAAATTTAGTTTCAGCACATATTAAATCGAATAAAGTTCAATGGTTTAGCTTCTTAAGAGGTTCCCCGCAATATATATAGCACCTGCATACATCAGATAAGCCGATAACAAAACAAAATGACTCAAAGAGATGACCAACGCGCATCGTTCCTCCAATTGATTAAACTACAGCCATGTACCATATAAAAAGGAAATGCCCTTCATCTTGAAACACAAAAAAGTTTCATACTTGTCTGCCCACACATTTCCATCAAAGCTTAAATTGGCTCGTGACAGAGCCATCAGCTGCCGGTCAGCGGTTTCAAGGAGAAGTGATCTCTCCACCTAGATATGCCGGCGTTCAATGCCTTCTGTAGAATGCTAATCCGCTCCGACACGACCAGCCCTTTAAGGTCATCGATTTCGGCGTACTCTTTCTCCATTATATGTCCGAGATGTTCAAAATACTTGATTTTGTCATGCACTTTCTTCATCTGCCCCAAGCATTGACAGAAAAAGAAAGGCGATAAATAATGAATAAATCTACAAGTTGATGAAAAATCGACAGAACAAATCACGCCCAAAAAACCAAAAGTATGCCGTCAGTAACTTCAGATACAAGTAGAAGCTAAGCTACCTCACAGCTTATCACGACTCAAGAAAAATGAAGTTGCACTAGAGCATGGACCATCCATATCATATGACTACTAAATAAGCAGACACTAAGAATCACCTGTGTTTCAATAATTGAGGCCACTTTCTGTTCAATTTCTCTATCTTCCTGGTCCGCCAACAATTTGGCACGAGCAGCAACTACTCCAAGAGCGGTCGCAGTTGCAGCTCTTACCTGCAAAGGCATGTGACTTCTTGTTGGGAGTGGCCCCTGGGCATCTGTTATGGCAATATGAGATGAATTCAGTCTAGTTCTGATATTAATTATAAATTAGCGAACCATGCACTACAGATAACAAAGCAGATGACTGGTCATCAGGTTTCAGAAGAAACGGTGCAGACCAAAAATGGCAATACCAACATTCTACTCCGGCATCTAAAAAAAATGTGAGTTCTTTTACTTTTTTGGGGGAAGGAAATGGGGTTGACATTGGCTTCCCACTTGCCAAAGGACGCGATTGAAGTTCATACTATAGTTGAAAAAGAAAAATACCGGCTAGTGGGACCTCATCGTTCATCTCAGCATCTCCATTTTCAATGTCCCTGGAAAGCAGAAGGTATACTAGGCATCAAAGTTTAGACAAGATAACCTCTTTTTCACAATCTCATAATAAATCATTCATGTTACCTTCCCAGGTGGTTCATTGCAGGAACAGATGATCCATTGCTTATATGACCCATGGAACCATAAAAAATCTCCCTTGGACAAAAGGTTTCATTGCAAATCGCTGAAACAGCAGATTCAGTAGCAGCAGAAGTGATATCCGGCCCAACCAGTGCCGACATCAGAGACACCTATTACAGAATGATTATGGAAGCGTAAAAGACAGACCATAATTAAAATTGCCCACCTCATTTATCTATGAGCTGCTTGAAAAGGAAAGATAGCCTAATAATAATTCAGAGTAAATCTCTCCCCAAAGAGGAATGACAGCATTTATTCACTGGCTTGTCGCATAATATAGCCTTGGAAAAACATACAGGAACCTCATAATTTTGCACCAAAAGGAATGGAGCTTACACAACTGGATTATTAAAAATCACTGACATCCCTAAACAGGGTCTATGTACAAAAGTTGGCCTATAGAAACAACATATAACAAAAAAAAATACCTGTTTCATGAGAGAACTACCACCATCAGAGAGGGAAGCTGCACGCTTCTTTTTAAGAGGAGGACCCTCATTGAGAACATCGTTAATCTGGTTCTGCACGATCTCTTCTATTTGGTCATTAGATCGTTCCTCTGTTTTGGTTTGATCTGGTAATTCAGAAGTAACTGACTGAACTTGAGATGTATTGTTAGCATTTCCGTCAACATTTTGATCTCTACCATTTCTGTTGGTATAACCCAACAAGAACTCCCCAAAAGGTAATTCTATGAGCTTCAATATGCAATCAAGTTTAGTCTTTGTCTTCACATTTTGTGCCACTAGATCCCAGTCATCCCCATGCTTTGAAATGGATTCCAGAAGGAGTTGAGTTTCTGCCTCGGTCCAGAGAGCTGCATGACTTGCAGAGCTTCCCTTGCCTTCCTTGAACTCAAAATCATCTAATGACTTGTTCTCTCCACAACTTCCATTGTTGTAGCAGTTCACACAAATTTTAAAATCGCCCTGCTGAAGTATGTACTTAATGGTTAAAAAAAGAGTTTTGCCAATCAAAATAGATAAAAATGCAAGTTCACAACTACAGAAACAACATAGATCTTGCCCAGAAAACTTTGCTGGAGCAAGTTATACGCAAAGGAATCTCCATCAAGAAATTTTTCCACTCACTGCATGTTGTTGCTGTTAGGACCAAAGCTAAGAGAGAAAAGGAAACGAATGAAAAGAACATAAGGAAGGAAGGTGGGTGAGGAAGCAAATGCTGTAATCCTTTATATTGTTTTCCCAAAAGGGATTAAGAGAAGAAAATCAGCCAAAAAGAGGGATATGGATAAAAGAATCACCATGACGTCCCTTTAAACGAACTTGTTCCTTTTTTTTACGCTGAATGAGTAATTTGAACCCCGAATAAAGGGCAACTAAATATTAACTAATTGTCTCGCATTTTCTTTCTTCAATACATGTACTCACTGAATGAGTAGCCATCCGCAATTCAATTCACGTAAATCAAAATCACGGTCCGATTGCCACTTAACTCTAAACAGATCATTCCATCAAAGAAATTTGCAAACTACAATCACAGAACACGCCCCACCAGTGCTTCGTATTAAAATCCAATCGGTCATGAAAAAACGCGCCGATCATGAAAACCTGCTCCTTTCGAATCGGTGAGCTCACTCGCCTCGTTAAGATGACAAAAAAGCCAATACGATGTTGCACCATAGAATCTTGAACCCGATCATCCACAACCATTGGAGCAAAAATCTAGCAAATTAAGTACATGTGCTCGAGGAAGTACTTAAAAAGCCAAGCTTAAGTAATGTGACAGACAAGAGGAATCGAATCGGTAACCTCATAGCCAACCTAATCATTTTGGTAATCCAAATAAGTAATCATAGAGAGTATACCTTAGTATATTCATAGCATCCAGACTCACAAGTTCCGCCACAGCTCCCACAAACCAACCCCTTCTGCTTCATCAATCCGGCAAAAACGTCGGAATACGAAGCCAGGGAAGGCAACCTAAACTGCCCCACGCTCGACCCCTTCCCGCCATCATACCTGCCAACGGCCGGAGGAGGCAAAATCACTGGCCTCCCCGAATTCGGTACCGCCACGACCCGGACCCCGACCGGCGCCCCGTCTTCGACCACCACCGTGCCGCGCCTCGCGCCACCATCATCATCATCGCCCCCCTCGCCGCCTCCTCCTCCTCCGGCCCCGCGGCCCGGGGGCGCGGCGAAATTGATGAGCCCCCACTTCTCGAGGAAGAGGAAGACCTTGCGGAGGAGGCAGACGTCGCCGACGAGGGCCTTCCGGACGTCGGTGAAGGTGAGCCGCCTCGACGGGTCCTCCCGGTACCGGTTGATGATGAAGTCCCTGTAGTCCTTGTAGATCTTGGGGGTCCTCGAGATGGAGCTCCCGTCGAAGAACTCCCGGAGGGCGGCCCTCTCCGTGTCGTGGATCTCGTCCCAGGAGAACCAGCCTGCGAGGGCGGAAGCGCGCCATTGTCGGGGTGAGCCGGTACGAGGAAAATCGAACTAGGGTTTTTGTCGGGAGAGAGAGAGAGAGAGAGAGGGACTTAACTGGAGTGGATGGGGATGGTGTAGAGGTCGAGCTCGTCGAGGTCGTGGCCTCTCGGGTCGGGCCGTGCGGCGGTCGCCATTCGGGATCCCTCCGGGAGGCTTGGGGACCGGCCGGCTCTGCGTGTGCGACGGGGACGACGGCACATGCGCTTGCGCAGTCAGGCGAACCAACGAAAAAATAAAAGAAAAGTTAATGGGGGAAAATTCCAAATAATGGTCCGAAAATGCTTGAAGTGAAGCTCGTATCAAATAAGGGCGTGAAATAGCCATGTCAGTCTCAAATAAGGATCTCAAGTGGTCATGGCAATTTCAAATAAGAGTCCGATCACGGCGGTCTCGCCGGCCTATCAAAAATATTTTCGTTTAAAGACAATTTTAATTTTAAATTATTCTTTTCTCATTTTTTTCTTTCTAGCGAGGGCTGGCAACCCTCGCTAGATAGGGTGAGGGCACAGGCGAGGGCGGCCTCACCCAGCCCTCTCTCGGCATTACTGATGGCCGCCCATCACTTCAGATTGGCCACCCGCGAAGAAGAAAGAAAAAACCAGAAAAGAGAAAAATTCAAAAAAGGTCAAGGACAAAAATGCTCTTATTAACCAAAAAGTCAAGCCCTTCCTTGAAACTGCCACTTCAAGTTTTTATTTGAAATAAAATCCATTTTAGGCTTTTATTTGAGAAAACGATGACACTTTAGGCTTTTATTTGGAATTTTCTCGGGGTAATATGAAGACTCTATTGCTCGACTTGATGCATAATTCCATTAATTGTCACCACACGTTAAATATTTGTTGACTATAGTACGTTTATTTCGTTGACAAAAATGTATGTAAAAATATTTTGTAAATATTTCCGATGTTTGGAAAAGTGAATATGATAAGTCGATTTAAAAAATTTACGGTAAAAAATCAAGAAAAAAATATCCATCTCATTAGATTTGAAAACGTTTTCATTAGCTAAATTTCCCGTTGGTCGATAGCACAGCACATTAAAGTACTTAATCAAGCTTAGAGCTGATAATGTTATTTCTCTCTCGCATCATCGTTAGCTTCTAGAATTCATTCTCTCTATTTCTTATTAATAATCAACAAGTAATGTCCTCGTTTATTACAAATTGATATTTTCGATCTGAGATTTTTTTTATAAATTTATTTAATGGCGTTAAAGTGGAGAGTTTAGAGAAGGTATTTGTAAAAATGTCAAAGTATTTTGTACTTACCTCTTCACTTCTTCTCGATACTGATTTGAATTAAGGGGAAAAGAATGAAGAAATTGAGTACTTTTACGTATATTTTTGTTTATAATTACTATAATTTATAGTTTCCGTACTTGCTTTATCAAGGTATTTTATTTGAAATTTGTTGATCTTTTGTTATTTATTCTGTTTTAATTCAAATAACGGAAGACTATTTTCCTCTCGCTTTTATGCTTCCAACCAAACTGGGGAAAATCAATCACTTTCCTTAAAAGTGAATTTCGGGAAAAACAATTTTTTTCAAACATAAAATTACAAATGCGCTTATAAACTTTTCCTTCTCAAAGGTTGACTTTTCTCTTTTTCATGTCATATCTCTCCCCTCTTGGGTTGCGTATAGTAGTTCGTAACCGAGTCCAAATAGTATAACAAAATATCTTATTTGATGTTTGGACGTTCTAAATCGGATAAGATACCTAAGATAGGAGGTGGGATAAACCCACCGGCTTCGCCGCCCACACGGCAAGAGCCACATTTATCATAGTTGATCATATCGCGCAATTACCTCGATTATCATCACCATCCAGCCGATTGTGCTCAAAAGATTGAAGGTGAAAAGGAGAAGTTATACGTCACATGGCCATTACAGTCAAAGAATTCGAATCCCTCCATGAGTGCAACGAATCCTTTGAGATCATCATCCATAATAGAGGCGTGTCTGCCCTCCTTACTCAGTGTCCCAGTGCCATCCACCGACGGATCTCCATCCACCTTCTCTCCGTTCCTCGCTACCCCAAATTGTCACTTTGACGTCATGTGGCACCTGAGCTTCGCGTGCAGCGTCCACCACCCCGTCACCAACCTTCATCTCTACATCAACCATTGCTGCCGCATCTACCAGATTGCTGCGGTTATTACCTCTCCCGAAGCTCATCTTAGACGGTGCCCGAATCGCCTTTGATACGGTGAAGCTGAGCGAGGACTACGATTTAAAGTTAGAGATGGCGGTGGATATGGCGAAATTGGTGGTGAAGGAGATGAGCTGGAGGAAGCTAAAGAGAGCGGGTTTAAGATGCTAATGAGAGAGCTCAAACACGAGATCTGGATATAACGGGAAATTGCACTGGGCAAATAAGATTTTCAAAGATTTTTAATTTTATATACAATTAGGAGGATGTTTGGATGATTTCTAATTCCATCTCATCATATAGTATTTTAATTTAAATCCGGACGACCAAACTCACAGCTTTATTGATTTGTCATTTCTTCTTCTACAAAATCTACCAAATTTAAAATCCACAAAATCTAACCCTCATAACAACACAAAAATTATGATTTACATACACTCGCAACCATCAATTTCGCTATCATAGCCGTAGCGAGCTTGAAGCTTTTTCAGCCATCCGTGAGCTCTACCATAGCTGCAAAAAGTACAAAATTGAAGCCATCGTAACTGTGGCGAACTTTAGATCTAGGCCATGACCCATGGGCTCAAAATTCAAGCAGCCATGATCATTGTAGCATGAAGGTTGTGCGACCATGGTCTACTAGCTCAAATCGAGCCACTATGGCCGCGAGCTCAAGTGGTCATGCCCAAGAGCTCAAGATTTGACTGAGGCGGCTGCGAGCTTAAGCTTGAATGGTTATGGTTGCGCGAGCTTAGAATTAGAGCTCATGGACATGGTAGACGTGATCTCTCGATTTTGTTTTTGTTTTAAATTTTTTAGTTGCATGATGTGGCACTTATTTAGTGTTACATAATAGGGAAAATCACCTAAATAGTCAATGAACTTTGGTCTAATGTGCAATTTGATCTTTCGGCTTTTAATTTGTTCAATGTAATTCCTGAACTTTAGCCTAATGTTCAATTTGGTCTCTGAACTTTTAATCTATTCAACGTGGTCCCTGGACTTTTAGTACATGTTCAATTTAGTCCATGAACTATTTGAAAATGTTCAATATAGTCATTCTAGTTCAAGGACTGTTTGGGTCATTATCCCTACATAATACACACGACATGTGTATCGTAGCATTCATGTCAACAATTCAACAGCTTATCTTAGAAATTTGGCAAACAAAAAATGTAATAGCAGAGCTAACACTGATATGTTTTTAGAAAGTAGAAGGCCGTTTTTGGGAAAGAGGGAAATGTGAAGATTTTGAATTTATAGGGAAAAATATAGGGCCACTAATGATATTAATCCTATTTTAGAAAAGAGATAAGTTTTTTATGAAGCATATTTGACAATTATCACGATATTAGCCATAACGAACTAAAGGACAACGGGAGAAGAAAATGAATGGGGTAATGACACAAATGATTCATGAACTTAGTCCAATATATAATATGATTTTTGAACTTTTAATTTGTTTAATGCGGTTCTTAAGTTTTTGGTACATGTTCAACGTAGTTCCTGAATTACATAAAATGTTTGATGTTGTTATTTTATTAATTCTAGTTCGGGGATAACATTAATTCATGGACCCAGTTAAAAATTTCAGGGACGATATTGTACAAATATTTAAATTAAGGGATCACATTGCATATTAAATTAAAATTCATGTTCCATTTGTGTCATTTTCCAAAACGGGGCAGGATAAGGTACGAACAGCCACAGCATAACCGAGGTAGACCTTACAAGTACGAAATCATCGCGGTCGTTCGTCGCCATCGAATCATCCCTTTCCGGCATCCACCTCTCTCCTCATTTTGACCACGGTCGAACCCGTCGAGCAACCCCCCACTGGCGCACCGCCATCACCATCGTCGAGATCGAGAGCGAGCGAGCGAGAGAGAGACAGAGGTGAGAGCTCGGTGACAATGGCGTCGGGCTGGGGAATCACGGGGAACAAAGGGAGGTGCTACGATTTCTGGGTCGACTTCAGCGAGTGCATGTCCCGCTGCAGAGAGCCCAAGGACTGCGCCCTCCTCCGCGAAGACTACCTCGAGTGCCTCCACCACTCCAAGGAGGTCTCTCTCTCTCTCTCTCTCTCTCTCTCTCTCTCTCTCTGCTTGATTGGTTCGCAGATTGAAGCCATTAGCTTTGCGGGATGCTTGTGATGAAACCCTAGTCTCGACAATTGGATTAGGACACCTCGACGATGATGCTCAGGTAGTGGTCCGTGTGCTTAATTGGACTGGGAGTCTGAGTTATGCGTTTGTGGTCGATGCCGCAGATCAGTAGGTGAGCCTGATTGATGATGCGTTGCATCGTCGGGGCAATGCCGTGCGATTTATTTGAGAGGATTTTTACAATCGTCAATGGGACTGTGTCGTATTTGAAGGGGCTTGATTCGGTTTGCCTCTGACTGTTGCTTTCAGTTTTATGAGCAGAAATAGAGCTTATAAGTAGATATGATTAGTGCATTCCTCTTATGTGTGAAGGAAGCCCTGAGGTGGAGTTGGTGCTATTGCTTGTATGTAGGCTACGATGAACTGCACTATAACAGCAGAGCGGCTGCATTGGTTTGAAGTGAAATGCACGGTCGAGTTTGTTCTGGGTTTTATTTTGTTAATTGAACGTTCTCGGGATAGACTGTAGTAAAAATTTGCTCACAGTCCATGAAGGCGTCAACACAAGATCTCAGGTTCATTTCTAGATTATGGACTTAGAATTAACTGGTAAATTGCCTTTAGTCGCGCTAGATAGTTTATGGTCGCGACGACCACAAATACTACAGTATTTTGGGTGATGCCTTGAGAATTCATGAGCCATATAGCCATGTCCCATTCCAGTAACTTTAGCTGAAACTCATGGTTTCCTTCTGAGCTGCTTAGCCTACTTCCAAAAGTAAAGCTAGCAGAGGTAGGCAGAATTAATTACGCAGTAAGAACGAAATCTGATTGCAGCTTAATTTCTACGTGTATTCATAAGGATAGAAGATCAACCCACCATTTGCACCTCATTGTGCATCCTATTTGAACTCCTCCTTTTTCCATCTCTTTTTATGTGTTTGCCAGAAAATGAACTATCAGGGAAGCAGTTTGACACAAGAAAGAGATGTTTGGGAAGCATCTTTTTGAAGAGTTATTGTATCTGTTGGGACTTTGTAAAATGACGAAAAGTATATATTTTGCTTATTGCTGTGAGGCTCCTTGGACAAGAGTAGCATCATGCTGATGCTTTGAAACCAGCTCTTTTCCTGATGGTGGTTCGAAACCTATTGGTGACTGCATCAGTTTTACCTGTTTGGTCTGGTACTACCGGGGTTTGAACTGGTTATATAGTATATAAAATCATAATTACCAATGAAACTTCAGAAGGGATGTGTAAGTAGGAGAAAAGCAATAATAACAGATGATAAATTCATGTTAACATCGTAATTTATTAATTTATTTCGTTTAGATGACAAATTTATCATATATCTGCTGATTGATAAAATAAAGCAAGCAATAGTCTTGTCGTGCTTTTGTGCGATTAAGTTGAAGAATTGCTGTATAGATTCTGTATAGTACTTGTTTTTTCCAATCTTCTTCAGCAATTTGGGGGATTTTAATTTTAGTCAAAATTTAGCTATTGATATCATGCTGTCAACAGATGGTATGAAACCAATTAAACCAGTCTTTTGGTTTTAAGAACAGTGCTTCACAATTCACACACTAGACCAAGTTATGGAGTTAAATATACAAATTACCACATTTTAAGACTACTTTAATCACTAGATGCTGCCTCTAACAGACTCCAAATTACTAATATTTTAGTGATCCTATCAATGAAGTCTTTTAGGGCATATTATCTTGCAGTACCAGTGCCTTCTCCTTTTTCAGCCAGTAAATTCTTAGATTTTTGGTCAGGATGAACTTTCGTGGTCATGGTGCTATTTCAAAATTTTTTCTGTTGGAGCTCAAAGGTTGTTGACTTGTACCAATTTTAGAGTTAGTCCTCTTTTAGGAGCACTTCAATGATCCCCGTGATTAGAATCAGTCTATTAGAAAAAGAATTGAGAAAGGGTGGTAGATGCACCTGCAACGATGTGGTCAATGAATGAAACCTAGTTAATAGCTATGGATTCCAGGGGCTGGCTGGTGACATTTCTGAGAGCCTTTGTAGGGAAGAGTGCAAAATTTTGGGGTTTCATCAGTGCAAAATTTTGGGATTTCATAAATGCAATCTCTGTTAGTGTTCATATGACAATGGCTTGATTTAGTGATGATCACACCTCACAGTGGATTAATCAGCAATTACCGTCACCCAATATCTTTGTTTAGCTATGCCCCTTCACGTGAAATTGGAAACCCTGCTTCCAATAGCTCAATTCTCCAACGTGATTATTATGGCTCCATTTTCATTTCATTGTCATACACTTTACTCCTGTGGAAGATTGATATACTCAAGTGTGGGTGCATAACTATGTTATGACTGTCTTGGATCGACAAATGATAGTAATTCAGGGAAAAGATATGATTGGTTAGATACTTCCTTACATATGGTTTTCTTTGCTTGGTTTGTATTGCAGTTCCAACGGAGAAACAGAATTTACAAGGAAGAGCAGCGGAAACTTCGGGCAGCCGCACAGAAGCCTGAGGGCGGAGATGGTACTCACAGCCATCACGCATGACAGAAACATGTCCTAGTTGCAAACTCTGAACTGAATAAACACATGTATGAGGATCTCTTATCAATTGGACTTTGTCGTTTGACTTTTTTGTACACTCTCGATTCATTGGAGGGTTTTGTTGCTTTGGTCGGCTTTGCAAAAGGGGAATATCCGACTTGTTTCTTGCATATTTTGAGGATTTGAAAGTTGTTTTATAGTTGATTCTGGTCTTTCAAATAAAAGGGCCTTTGTAGGTGGGATGGCATGTCTGCCTTATTAACATTTTTGACTTCCTTTGCTAGGTCTAGAGAGAGATTAGCCGTTTGGACTGAAGATAGACCATTAAGCAGTGCACATAACATGCACTAAAAGTCCTCTCAATTGTCCATTTTCCCTAAAACACCTGATCCTAGAATCGGATCATTTCACTTTCCAATGTTCTCAAGATGAATCCAATAACGCCTTTTCAAGTATGCATGGCAATTAGATATTCAATGACGAACAGAAGCATGTAAAGAGTCGAGAAACGGAGTGAGTTGAGAATATGCACTTCCAAATTGCGCAACTGACGGGAAAATGAGCAACAAAGCTTTTGTTTCAATTTAAGTGGTAACATCCCTTGTGGAAATGGTATATGGAGCGCCGTACAAAAATTTCTTTTGCTCGGACGCTCGAGTTTTGTGATTGAAGCATTAGAATTGTTACTTACCGTTGGATGCTCATGAGGTGAGAAGTATCCTTTTCTCTCCCATCTTACTTGGTAGCTTGAATAGAATACCAACACGATTGGTTCTATAGAAAGCAGTGAAGCTTGATCGTGTGAGCAACGATAATATTGTATGACAATGTAGTTGTACCACTATAGTTTGAAGACCGGACGTCTCCTCTCTGGATGAGCATAGCAGTTGTATGCAACTCAATCTTATAAGTAGGGTTGTCATTTCTTCAACAAGTCGCATACAACGCAAATTTATCTAGAGTAATCCCAATTTGATGTCAAACGAAACTGATTAACTTGAAATTTGAGATAGATGGATGTGTTTCGATTCATGTATTATCAAAATAATTAGTTATCACATCGAAACAATCGGGGTGATAATGTTAAATGATGTAAATGCAATAACTGTTTGGTAAATTGCAATTTGAGATAGATAGATAACTGAGAAAATTGTCCGAAAAATCCTCAACCTACTGTATTTTTGCCAATTCAGTTCTAAACCTTTTAACTTTACCAATTGAGTTCTAAATCTTTTCATTTCTTGCCAATTGAGTCCATCTGGCTAATTTTGGCCGGAAATTGCTGATGTGGACGCCGGGCGACCATGTGGCGCTGACGTGGACATTTTTATATAGTATTTTAATAATTTTTGAACTTTTTTATGTTTTTTTTTCTTTTTCTCTTTTTTTTTTTCTGGATTTTGAAGCTAGGGCCGGCAACCCTCACGTGCTCTGGGCAAGGGTCGGCCGATCCTCGCCGGCTTTGGGCAAGGGACGCCTCGCCCAGATTTGGCTAGTCAAGGGCTTGGCGGCCCTCGGAAAAGGAAAAAAAGAAGAAAAAAAACATAAAAAGTTCAGAAATTATTAAAATATTATATAAAAATGTCCACGTTAGCGCCACGTGGTCACCCGGCGTCCACATCAGCGATTTCCGGTCAAAATTGACCGGATGGACTCAATTGACAAGAAATTAAAATGTTTAGGACTCAATTGGCAAAATTAAAAGGTTTAGACCGAATTAGCAAAAATGCATTAGATTTAGGACTTTTTGGACAATTTTCCCACAGATAACTCTTCAAAGTGAGTCAAAAAAGTAGCTAAAAGCCATTTTCATTTGACCAAGGGGCTTCAGAGCTCCAAAGCCCATTCCATAAATTGAACCAAATGCGTCCAAAGGACTTTAGCTGAATGCACGCGGATAACATTTGCTTCTGTGAAATAATTTCCTTGGATGCATGAGGATTACATTTGCTCTTGTCTAAGGTGATTTTTGCTTATAACTTTTTACGTTTTATGACTTTGCTTGAATTCACTCTATGAACTCTGTTTAATTTGAAACACGTAAATTTATCAGAACATACGAATATTGACATGTAAAACAACATGTAATTTTTTCATACATTTTGAAACTTAAACAATACCTTTCGATTTTTATATTTTGGAGGGAATATCATAAGGAGGAGTGAAAAGTACCTCTAGTTACAACAAACAAACGTCACTATATCTCTAAATGACTCACCACCAGAAATTGTAGGTAAACTTCACTGTGGCCATTGAATTTCAGTAGATTTTATAATGAATCACGGAACTTTGATTTCAATTAGTAAAAGTAGTAAAGTTATTATTCTTTGTAATTTAGCATTGTGACGGGAACGTAGTTAATCTCTCGGCGAAAAACACGTGGTCAATTTTCTATGATTACCAAGTGGCCACTATGTCAGCATTTAATCAAAAGTTTGACAGAGCTAGGTTGAAGTGCATCGATTACAAAAGAAAAAGAAACGATTTTTCATCTTAATTATCCATCCAACCATAAATGTATAAAAACAGTTTTCATATTCACAATGGATTTAATGCTATTTAATAATTGAAATTTACATCCAATGGTTGTGATGTGATTGCATGCGGTCACCACCACATGAAATTGAATTGACATTCGCGGATGGTTTCAAGGCCAACGGGAGAAAAAGAAACGCTTTTTTATTTTTAAGTATACATGTCATCTATGCAACTATAAATGTCTACAATAGCTTTTCTATTGACAATGGGTCAAACAATGCTTAATAATTGAAATTAAAATCAAGTGACGGTTCGAATATAATGATTAATGACCACCACGCGAAATTAAATCGACATTCGAGAACGCTTTTAAGGCCAATCGGGAAAAAAGAAAATTTTTCAGGGGAAAACTTGAAATTTCCAACAAGTTAAGGGGCTTCCGCTTAATTAACGGGAAAAGAGCGCCCCACCAATATGTTAACGTACGCCTCGGCACACGATATCCTGCACTCGGAGTCTTTACTTTATGTTCAAGCCCGACCCACATCTTTCAAAACCCTAGTCATCGTAGCGCCTCTGCTCCTCCTTCCTCCTCCCTCCTCCTCCTCTTCCTCGAGCGATCTTCAAGCTTTCGAAGGTAAGCCCTCTCGGTCGATTTCACAGCTTCTCTTCGCTTCCCACGTGCTCTTTCGCATGTACCTCGGCGTAGCTTCTGTCGGCGAAGGTCAATGTCGTGCTGATCTAGGATTCTTGTCGCTCCTCTCTTGGTGGTGCTAGGGCAAGATGAGCAGCCGTGCGAGCAGGACTGTTTACGTTGGGAACCTACCCGGCGACATCCGCGAGAGAGAAGTGGAGGACTTGTTCCGCAAGGTTTGTCGAATTCTCGTGCAGTCCTTGTTTTTGGGTTTGCGAAATTTACCCGATGCAGGTTTTCTTTTCATTTCCCCCCTCTTTTTTTCTTTTCATGTATGCTTTTTTGATGTTCCGTCGTGTTGATGCATGTTTGAATTGGAGTTTTTTAGTACGTGCTTCATTCTGTTGTCTCGGAGCAAACGATGGGCATGGCGATTGAGGTGATTGGTCAAAATTGTAACTTTAGGTTCGACGTTTGAAATCTCATGGCAATGGTTCTTCTTGGGCTAATGCCCATGGCTTGGTTATGTTAAACAACAACATAAACGATGAATTATTTTTTTCTTTCCTGTTTATCTGCTTTTTGGTTATGTTGATTATGCTTCCAGTGTTCATACGTGCTATTTTTTCAGTCTTTTCGTTTATTCTGTGTAATCTTGACTCTTATTAGCTCTATCACCTTAATGGGGGTGACTCGAGTCTACAAAATTGTTCCTCTTTTTCCTTGCTAAATGACAATGCAGCTGGATTACCACATGCTGATGATTGAACTGGGACGACATCGGTCACGACTGTATGCCAATGTGCATTACATTATCTCTTTTGTCTGAGGTGCTGAGGAGAATGTTCTCAATCCTTGAGTATTCGTTTTCTCCTCTTGGTATAACAAGCTATTATATATCCTTAAGCTCCTCATTAGCACTTGGAATGGATACAAATGGCAAACTGTTCCTTTTGTAAGGAAAACACGGGTAGCATCTGTCCTTTGGTGCCTCAGTTTTTCCAAGTGTACTCAATCATCTTGCAGTAGCATGTTCTCTTATAAATTGATCTACGTGGATGAATAAGAAATAAATAGTTTTGGGGATGCAAGAAAAAATCTTGATTGGAGTTCTGATCTTGGAAAAGTTCAGGCGCCTGAGCTCCATTAATCAGTAATTTAGAGAATGTTGTTTAATCCTACTTCGTGATAAAGCATATGTGAAGTAGAGACTGTTTGGTGGTGAACTGAGATTTTTCTAGGATTATTTGTTTCCTTCAGTTTGTATTTACTTATTCAAACGATGTGGGCTGTGGAACAAGTTGCAGGTGTCTTTACTCTGATGAATATACTTTCTGTCTTCTTTCCCTTACTTGTCTTCTCTTTTTGCAGTATGGACCGATAGCACACATTGATCTGAAGATACCACCCAGGCCTCCTGGTTATGCATTTGTTGAGGCGAGCATAAGAAATTTAAAATTTGCTTCCCACATTTCCTGGCTGGCTTCTTTTTTCTGACTAAGATTGTCACTTACAGTTTGAAGATGCTCGAGATGCTGAAGATGCCATCCATGGTCGTGATGGCTATGATTTTGATGGGCATCGTTTAAGGGTTGGCTATCTTCGGAACGTACCTTTATAAATGCTCCCTGATTAACATTGTGACCTTCCTCATGTGTAACTATTTGTTGTATAATAGGTGGAGCTTGCTCATGGTGGTCGCGGGCACTCATCATCATCTGATCGCCACAGTAGTCATGGTGGTGGTCGGGGTTCACGTGGAGTATCGAGGCACTCTGAATTTAGAGGTTGTAATTCTTCATATTATAAATCTAGTGGGTTCTTGTCCTTTGCATACACATATCTAATTTCCACACTCATTGTTATACAGTCCTGGTTAGTGGGCTACCATCTTCAGCTTCATGGCAAGATCTTAAGGTGAGAATGACCTGGATCTATTGATAATTGTTTCTGGTTTTCTTCCCTCTCTGTGTATGTACGTTAATGTGTGCATGTGAGGTTGATGTATTGAATCTATTCTTTTAGTTAGTTGATGCGTGCTTTCTTTGGTTAGGATCACATGCGTCGAGGAGGAGATGTCTGCTTCTCACAGGTTTTTCGTGATAGTAATGGTAAGTTGATAAGTTATATGGATTACATCCGGCTTCTATTGAAGTTCTTGTTAAGTTCGAGGTACTAAAAATTCAAATATTTTAATCAACGATTTTTATTGTGAAGTTGAATAGTTCAGGTTTTTTATTTTTGAGTCCATGATCCATTCTCTTATTGGAGGCAGTTACATGTTCTAGTGTATATAATGCATCATACATGGAGAAATGTTGGTTTTGCTGTATATATTTCTTTCAGTTTTCTTTTTCTTATTCTGATAAGGATGTTTGTGGATCTTGTCTTGAAGGCACAACAGGGGTCGTGGACTATACCAACTATGAAGACATGAAGTATGCAGTAAGTCTTTTGCCTTGTCATGCTTTTATTGGTATGTTAGGATAGAGATTTATTTGCCCAAGCTTGTTGGGTCTGTCCATTCTGCGAATGAGATTGTGTACATTTTCTCTGCAGATAAAGAAACTCGATGATTCAGAGTTCAGAAATGCCTTTTCCCGGTCATATATTCGGGTATGACTTTTGATGCCGCTCTTTTATCAGTTACCATCAGGTACACACTTGTGTGTGCGTGCATTTAAGTAATTTGAACTGGTTTCTTGTGTATGTGCATGTGCAGGTTAAGGAATATGATTCAAAGCGCGAGTCATCAAGAAGTCCTAGAGGCCGGAGCTATAGTCGCAGTCCTCGCAGTCCCAGCCGCAGTCGTAGCAGGAGTGTGAGGTCTGGTTTTCTCGAATAGTGATGCATGTATTTTTTTTGTATTTCAATTTTCTAAACCCTTTTCTTTTAAAATGCAGCAAGTCTCCGAAAACCAAAAGTACACGGCGTTCACCTGCAAAGTCTCGATCTCCTTCACACTCCCGCTCTAAGTCACCTTCCTTATCAGGGTATGCTTTCTCTGGCTAGTTGGCTTAATCATGGTTTGTTCCTCCATTTCTCAGAGCTTTATGCCTTAAAAGTGGGTTATAATGCAAAAAGGGTTGCAGATGTGAAGTTTCAATGTACAATAATTTCTTTCACAAAGTATGATTTTGGTGGGGGTTTGCCTGACTATGCTGGGGGCCAAGTCACGGAATCTTATGTATTCTTCTTTTTTGTTCTCCGAGTTTGATAATTAGGATCATATTTTGCTAATGAAGTACTTGCGGTGGTGCTTGTTAATTTGCTTTCTCCTATTAAGTCATCTTCCGTTCAATAATTTCTCAAGTTCAAACAAATGATGGGTCTAAGATGTCCATTTTTTCCCAACTATTTACGCTTTCGATTCTGCAAGACTTGTGTAGCAGGTGCGTTTTGCTCCAACTATTGGATTAAATTCCTTATTGTTTGTGGGTCTTTACTATTTTTAAGGCACTATCCCCTTAAATGTTCATGTGGTTTGATATTATTTTGGAGATTATTTGATGGCTTTTATGGGCGGGCTAACAGTCGCATCATGATTAGGTGATCAATATTCAGAATTTGAAACTGTTTTTATTGCACGGTAGGGGGTGTCTTGGAATTCTTCCGAATAACTGTTCTTTTGCCTTCTGTATGAAAATCATCTGTTCTCTTTTTATAGATATGGATATGGATATGGATAAATGCGGCAAACTGGGGATTCAATATTAGGATCTTGGTGGGATATGGTTCAGTTGCCTGCAACTATATGGTTGTGGAGGTATGACGTTTTCTAGATGGGCAGCTTTGGAAAGCTTCATGGTGTCTCTGTTCTAATTTAATTAGCATCACAATTCCGTGGGTGCTAGATTGGGAACAAAGGAGATCATGGAATAACAGAGCTGGATTCTGTGAACTAGTTCCATTGGGATCTACTTCAAGAAGTCTCGAGCTAATAGGATGACTATCTGGACTCCTTTGGATTGTTTTGGTACTTTAGGGTGCATTTTCCTCATTTGTCTACTTTTCTGATCTTTCATGATGATAAACTCGTTCTTTTCCCCTTTAATTTATGCTATTTAGCTGGACTCATAATGGGTTTGATGTTTTTTCTTAAGTCTCAAAAGATTTACGGCTTAATCTTTTCATTCTGAAAATGGTAATCTGACGTGGGAGAGGCATCAAGGCTCTTGGATGAAAGACGTGTGGATTTTAAATTTGGTTCTTTCTGGAACTTTTGCAGATCGCGTTCAAGATCCAGATCACCATTGCCTTCTGTAAGTTTTTCTTTTGTGGGTTTAGGCCGTCTCTTTTTAACCACGTTGTCATGTCTTTTTAATATTTAGGGCCCGTTTGGTTCGGCTTTTAGAATGCTCATTTGGGGAATGCAAATACCTTTAGGTGAAAGGCACTTGAAAAAATGCAAATGGCGTTTGGTAAAAAATTATTTGAAAGCCACTTGGGGAAATGCAATTGTGTTTGGTTATTTCTTTTTACAAATGGGCTTTGGGAGCTTTTTTTTTTATTATTTTTAAAAGTACCCTTCGCCGGCTCCGGCGAAGAGCTACGGCCGCCGGCGAGCCAGATCTGGCACCGGCGGCTGTCGCCGGAGGAGGCCTGAGGTAGCGCGACCTCGGGTGGCGTCGCCCCTGGGTCGCAGCGACCCAGCCGTCGTCGCCCTGGGTCGCGACACCCGTGTCTGTCGTCGCAGCTTGGGGTCGCGCGACCTCGTGTAACGGCCACGCGACCCGGGCGACCGTCGCTCGAGGTCGCGCGACCCTGCGGCGAGGGTCGCGCGACCCCATGTGACGGCGCCACGCGACCCCAAGTGCGCCGTCGGCTGAGGTCGCGCGAACCCGGGCGGCGACGGCGACGGCCCGGGTCGAGCTACCCCAGGCGGCCGTCACTCGACCCAGGCCGTCGCCGCCCGGGGTCGCGCGACCTCGCCGGCGGCGCTGGCCCCTCCCCGGCCGCCCTAGCCGGCCACGCTTTGCTGAAGAAGAAATATATATTTTTTTTTGGGGGAACAGTTAGCATTCGTGGAATGCTAATGCTCAAAGCTGGTCCGGACCAGCTTTGAGCATTCAGCATTCCAAATGCTACCAAATGAGCATTGGAACTCCAATGCTGAACCAAACGGTTCAGCATTTTGGGAATGCTCGTTTAAGGCCAAATGAGCATTCCCAATGCTGAACCAAACGGGGCCTTAACTGGTTTGTATCAGCAGTTTGCTTGATATAGGCCGAACTTTTGGGATGTTGCCCCTGCAGATCTTTTGTGCCTGTATTGGGGAGTGTCTGCCCCCAATTATGCTCTTAACTTTTAGCTAAAAGCACCAAATAAATTGCATGATTTATCTATGAAAGCTTAAATTGAAGCTATAAGAGTTCGGTTCTGCTTTGGTTTTTGATGGTGATAATTATTTTAGTAAAATGTTTAAATTGTCATTTTAGAATCTTCTTTTTTTATCCCCCCCGAACTGGTATCTTGTTTGCATAAAGGTTGGTCTTTTTAGGTATATTATCTGTTTTATATTCTTATTCCTATGAGGTAATGTTGGCATACTGCAGCGTGAGAAACAGCTGAGCAAAAGCCCTAGGAAGCGCAGTGCAAGCAAGAGTCCTAGCAGGAGCAGGAGCAAGAGCTTATCCCGGTCTTGTCTTTTTTCCAGCATGATAGTGTTTATTGATGTCGTGCTAACTCATAATTGTGTTAATGGAAAAAGTAATTAATGAATTAGTATTTATATATTTTGCTCACATTTTACAGTGCTTGTTGAGATTTCTTTGTCATCATATTGTGCGTGAGTTTATTGCCATTGTCCTGAATATGGTTTGTATTTATTGACAGGTGATAGGATTGCGGGGCTAGCTGAATGTGGACCTTGAAAGATGTGACCCAAATGGAGCATTCAACTTAGCTTTAATAAATCATCGTTATAATTGGAAAACCAGGTGTTAGCTTTCTGAAAGACTTCAATATCATGACGGTTCCTGAGTGTGTCAACTGTGCTGTTAATTACTTTATAGAACTCATTTAGTTTCCATGAATTTGAACTTGGTTCTTGAGTATGCTGCTTGTAAGAGATTTGAACGGTATTTATCTTTTCTGAACTGCATATATTTCTAGTTTCGTGAGATTGTGGAACTTCGTGGTTCTTACATATGCCTCATGTCTCCTCCGGTCAAATATTATCAATGTAGTTGATATGAAGCTGTTTGCTGATTTTATTTAGTGGACGGGGAGAAATTAGAGGAAATTCGTCCCAGTACTTCATGTATGATGGTTGAGTATCGAAAGCGTTATGGATTTCTCTTTGGTATGTCCCATGGATGCGCTTGCGCGCAGTCCCTTGTTCTTTGTTGTGGAGCAAAGTCCTCACAGGGCGCTAGGAGGGCCCTCGTCCCTTGCTCCGGATTAATTTCCAGGTTGCAATGCTAGTCGTAGGATTCGAACTCGCATGGCGTGGGTGGGATTGAAGCAGCAATCCATGGGGCTCCTATTTGTGGTCTTAGTTAAGATAGTTTACTCAAACATCGCGTGCTTAGTCTGTAATGTTTCTTAGGACAGGAAGACAGCAATTTAGTAAGATAAAATGAAGTAAAAAAGATTTTGTAAACGAGTGCCTTTTATATAACTTAATTAAGAAAGATTGTCATTTCTTCTTGCGTTTTCTCGTATTATATGTAATTGGTATATTGGAAAAGATAATGTTTCTTTATTGCAAGTGGCTAACGAGTGTTTCGGGACATTGATTAATAAAAATCCATAGAAAAAAGGAGAAAAATCTTCTGGGACGGCGGCCGAGTGACGGGGTGCTCAGCGAAACCTTTTTGGAGGGTTTGCGGCTGTTAGATAAAAGAAATAAAACTTCTTGCCCGGTGGTTTAATTTTTCATTTGTTCTTTTTTCAACAGTTTTTCATGTTTTAACACTTGGTATGACGGAAAATGCACGTCATTACGATTAGCAGCCGTCATGGAACTCATCTCTCAAGGGACCATATAATTGCCTGTCGAAGGTAGAGTGGAGAGAATGAGATTGTCATCTTCATCGCCCACCATCGCCATTGCTGTGGTCATTGGTATCTTGTCTTGGTGCCACCATAGACGTAGGGATTGTTCAATCAGTTCTGACTCTATTGTACGGGTGACAATTTAGTTTTAAATTTTTCATTTTTGTCAATTTAGTCATAAATCTTTGTACAAAATTTTTGCCGGAAACGGTTGAGTTACGGTATGCCATGTAGGACAACCGGTGGTGACTGGATCGCTACGTTAGAGATTTCTGGAGGAAAATTACCAAAACAGTCTTAAACATATTACAGTTGTGTCAATTCAGTCATAAACTTATTTTTTGAACCAATTCAGTTCTAAATCTTTTGTATTTGTGTCAATTCAGCCAATTTGATCAATTTTGGTCAGCTGGCGTTGATGTGGACGTCGGCCGGATGTGGCAATTTTTAAATATTTTTTTCGCATTTTTTTTCCATCTTCTTCCTGGCTAGTTATTGCCGGGCGAGGCTTGACCTCACCCATTGACGGCGAGGGTGAGCCAGATCTAGGCTGCCTCACTGTCACTGGGCAAGGTCAAGCCTCACCATGGCCGGGCGAGCTCGACCTCGCCCACCGACGGCGACGCTCACCCTCTCTAGTGCCAGCGAGGGCGAACTACGCCAGTCTCAGCCCTTGGCCGGTCCGGTGACGACCGGCTAGGGAAAAGATGGAAAAGAAAATTAAAAAAATTGAAAAAAATAATTTTTTTAAAAAAATTGTCGCGTCAGCTAGACGGCCAGCACCGGTCGGCGTCCATGTCAGCATCGGCCGGCCAAAATTGGCCGGATGGATTGAATTGGCACAAATATAAAAGGTTTAGGATTGAATTGACACAAAAAAAAGATTTAGGACTAAATTGGTACAATTGCAGTAGGTTTAGGCTAGTTTTGGTAATTTTCTTGATTTCTGGTGAAAATTGACTAGAAGAATTAAATTGGAAATTCGAGTAAAGGGTTAGGATTAAAATGATAAAATCGAAAAGTTTAGTACTTTTTTTTTTTTTTTGGTCGAAGAAAAGTTTAGTACTTAACAAGAACTTCAATGTAGTTCTCATTCAATGAAAAGTTTTTGGAAATCAATTATTATGTCTCAATCCGTTCAAACTCTCTCTCTCCTTTTCTCTCATAATTATTTTGAGCCCCTTCTTTTCATTCCAAATTAGTGTGGAAATAGCCAACATCAATTGATTATTTGATTTTATATGTTCTTTATACGCACGTGGCCTCCCTCTACCTATCATATTAAACATTTGGATCGGACTTTCAAACATAGTATCAGAGTTAGATTTTGCCTCAAATTTATTTCGGGCATGACATAAAATATAATGATCAAAAGCAAGATCTCACGAAACTATATGGACCAAAGAAATAACTATCCGGAACCGATATATTGCACGTGTATTGATGTGCTTGCGGCTTGTGGCTCAGTCATCAGATCCCACGTTGGGTGCTTGTGCTTGTGTAGGTAAAGATCAAGTTCCATGGTAGAAAAGCCGTTGCATTTTTGTCTACTGACGTGCTCTCTACGAGATGAAAAGACCAATCATGTTTAGAAAATTTGAGACGCCTCACTGGAATTAAGGGTGCATGTACAGTGAGCATTCAAATCAAGTGAAAAGAGGCGAGAAAATGATGCGAACCACACAAGTAAGTACCCAAGAATCGCTTGGTCTACACGAGAACCAATAATATCTGTAAAAACTGGAGTCTTCCTGGACCACATGTGACAGAATACCAAGTCGAGAACGCAAAACTTCTTGTTGTCTGTTAGTACATGAAGAATCATGAATGAGAGAAGGACCAAGATGTTCTTGTCTCTGCCTCTCTGTCTCTGTCTCTGTCTCTGTCTCTCTCTCTCTCTCACACACACACACACTCCACACACATTCATTTACAAGCTGTGGATGATGAACTAGTTTAACTTGTGTGTCTGTGTGACTGTCAGTCCACATTTAAAGAATAAGAAAATGTGCAGGCTCGGATTTTTGCTGATTCTTGCAGTGCAACCAGCTCTGACTGCTGTCTTTGGAGCTGATACATACAGTCGATACGACTTCCCACCCGGATTCGTGTTTGGTTCAGGCACATCGGCTTACCAGGTTTTAGCAACTTCCCACGTCGTTTCACTTCTGAGACAGTTATCAACAAGTTTTGGGAGAACTATAGTGAATGCTATCCATGTGTTGTTATCGACTTACATGTTTTATTCATCGTATGTTTCTAATTAGAGATGTGTGCCAAAAATGGTGGGAGTATAATAGGTTGAAGGGGCAGCAAATGAAGATGGAAGGACGCCCAGTGTCTGGGACACCTTCACCCATGCAGGTGACGGTTGATCTGTTTCTTCTCTCTGTGCGAGCGCGTGTTCACTCACATGTGCATGTTTGTCGAGTCATCTTTGTTCCTTTCCAATTTTATGTTTGTGTTTCATGCAAGTAGTTTGTTTTCCTTTTCTCTTGCTCGCTTGCATGAATCTATGCGGTTATATGTGGGGGAGTGATTTGCAAGGGGGGACGTTTGCCTTGCTACAAAATGAGCAGTTATTCCCTCAGGTTTTTCTTCACCGAACTCGCAAACTATGATTAGCAGATAGTACATAGAACAACCGTTGATAAAACGTCATAAACATTCATTGTTTGTAGCATAACTGTTTTATCAGATGGAAAGGTAAGAATATCCCCATCAAAGGATGATAACAATACCTGCTAAACAAACTTCAACTGAGTTTAGCCGCACTTTTTACAGGGTATAGCTCTCCCAATTTACGCCTACCGTTTATTAGATTTCATCTAACTACTTCTGTTGTGACTAATGGCAACATCGCTATGAAAACGAGAGTATTCTGTGACATCGCCATACTGGCAAAGTATTCACGTTATTCGTGCTCAAGAGGATTCTGCGGATCTTAGAATGTCGAGCTGTCTCGCACAGTACATATCACACAAGCAGTTATTCTGTTTCCAACTCTAGTGAAGGCGATCGAGTGAATAGTTTTGTGGCAATTTTCGGTTGAACATTTGTTCTTTGGTTGACAGTTTAACGAAAAGAGAAGATACCCACTTGATTTTCCAGGTTTTGCAAATGGAGCAACTGGAGATGTAGCTTGTGACGGGTATCACAAATACAAGGTGCGACTCTTCAAAACCTAAATTACAGAACAAGATATCACATAGAGTTATGGATAGCTGAATAATTTTTTTACACTAATTTTCTCGGTCATGGCTATATTACATGACCACATAGGGATTGTAATTGTATGTTTGAGGACTACGATATGTCTATGCATTGTAAGGTAGTTGCCTTTCTTGCAGGAAGATGTTCAACTCATGGTAGAGACAGGCTTAGATGCCTACAAGTTCTCAATTTCATGGTCAAGACTCATCCCACGTAAGAACTCGCAGTTAACTTGGAAATTTAAGCTAACACAGAGAATCAATTTGATATCCTTTTCTGAAGCATCAGACAACATTGATCTCTCTCTTTTGCTCCTCCAGATGGCCGAGGACCAGTGAATCCAAAGGGTTTGCAGTATTACAATAACCTCATTGACGAACTTATTAAGAACGGTTAGTGCAGAATCCGGTTGAGAACTGCAAATGAAGTTAATGTAAATTTGCTTACAGTGGTTTCTTATTGTCCTGCTAAACTGTTTCTTTGATGCTATTGATGGGCAAGCAGGTATCCAACCGCACGTCACTTTATACCATTTCGACTTGCCGCAGGAGCTCGAGGACGAGTATGGAAGCTGGCTTAGTCGTAAAATCATGTATGTTTATCAAACCTTGCTGGTCTGAGTTTCAATCTTTTCTCCTCCTCCAGGGGATATAGTTAGGATTAAAACTATGAACGACTACGAAATAAGAAGCAACAATGCATAACTCAGCATGTTTTCGTGATTAGGGAAACCAAAAACCAAAAAGAAAATCATCATTAGGGTCGAAAAATAGTTTGAAACCAAGACTTTGTCATATTGAGAAGAAACTCTCCTTTTCTGGTTGCAGAGAAGATTTCACGGCCTATGCGGACGTATGCTTCAGGGAGTTTGGCGACCGTGTTCGGTATTGGTCTACTGTGAACGAGCCTAACATTTATGCCATTGGAGGATACGACCAAGGGATCGTGCCGCCTAAACGGTGCTCTCCTCCGTTCGGATTCAACTGCACCAAAGGCAACTCCTCATCCGAGCCGTATCTCGTAGTTCATAACGCCTTGTTAGCGCATGCATCGGTTGCAAAACTATATAGAGAGAAATATAAGGTATACTTACAGAACTGTCTCGTGCCCTCAGCGTGTTCATATGTTTTGTGGCCTATCAACAGGTTTCTAAGGCGATGGAAGTGAATTGTTGGCCTCTTTGATTCTTCAGGGCCTGAATTTGTCCTTCCTCTTGATATGTTGAAATGAAAAGAAAGTCCATTATTTGGCTTTGGTGCATTGACATGGTGTTGCAGGTGAAGCAGCAGGGTTTTATAGGTCTCAGCATCTATGGTTTTGGGATTTATCCCTTCACGAACTCGACAGAGGACCTTATTGCCGCACAGCGAGCCAAAGATTTCTTCGTCGGCTGGTAGACTTCGAATTCTTATTGCTGCAGTTTTCTTTTTGAATCAGCCTGACTGCATTTCCTTGGTGGTTTATGAAGAAAAGTTAGTAGGATTCTACTCTACAGTAATCAGTTACTATATCGGCTCTACCCTTAGGCCTAAGCTGATAAACACATTTGTTTCATAGAAAAGGATAATGGTTTCACACGATTATATCTAATACATTGAGACACATTCGAAGGGGGATTTCTGTGCTAAGCCACTAGAATTGCGAAATTCTTCTGATTTCTGATCCATTTCATCTTGTTATTCGTCCCGAGTAATTTCTCACTCAAAGTATGGAGGATTTTCAAAGCCCTTCAACACTTGCCATTGAAACATTTTCAGGTTGTTGCATCCTCTGATATATGGAGATTACCCAAGAGTGATGAAGCAAAACGTGGGGTCTCGACTCCCGGCCTTCACTCCTCTCGAATCGAAACAAGTGAAGGGTTCGGCTGACTTTCTGGGACTGATATATTATACTTCCATTACTGTCAAAGACAAGTCCAGCAGCCTGGATGGAGAACCCAGAGACTTCAACCGAGACATGGCTGTGGAATTAATCAGTACGTTTTCCTACATTTGCATTGCCATCTACATTGCTTGCTTCAATGGAAAAGCTTTGCTTGAAGTTAATTATGTTTCACCGAAGAGATTCTTGCAGCAGCAGAAATGTGAAATCTAGTCACAGAATTAGCTGTCACAGACAGACTTAGGAAGCATTTCACGTGCAAAATTCACAGTACATTACCCTGATGGGTGATCAAGTATGGTGATGTCCGCCTCCATTTTGGCCTCGTGCACAATTTGGAGGCGTAATTTACCATAATCAGACGAGTTATCGTAATCCTTAAGACATTTTGCTGTGCTTGAACATTGCTAACACAGGGCCAGTCAGTATTGACTCACTGATGTTTTCCTTCACGGCAGATAATGTAAACACGTCCCAGTATTACGAGGTGAGCACCGATGTCCTACGCGTGCAAAGTTGTGATCTTTCATGTTTTTATCTCCTTCACCTTTTCCATCCCATGGTTCGTTTGCAGTTTCATGTTTTTATCTACTCTGCTTCTCCTTCCCATGGTTATAGATACCGATCATGCCGGAGGGTCTTCAGCAAGTGCTCGAGTACTTCAAGCAAGTCTATGGCAACCCTCCTCTCCTCATATATGAAAATGGTCTCTCTCTCTCTCTCTCTCTCTAGTAAACTCTTTCTTGCCGCGAAGATCCGAGCGTTTGCTTCTCGTGCATTGCATCTCTGAATGAGAGCGTGAGCTAATCGACTCGTTCATAAGATTACCATGCATTGCAGGGCAGCAGACTCGGCGGAATACAACTTTGCAAGACACAGAACGGATTAGCTACATTCACGCGCATATCGGAGTGGTGCTCGACTCAGTGAGGTATGTGATTCTGGAACTCGGCCAACCCCACCAGTCTCTGAGAGATTTTTCCTGGTTAAGATGACGAGCTACCTGGATCGTGCTCTGTTTTGTTTCGTGATGTTATCCGTCAGGAATGGGTCGAACACAATAGGCTACTTCACCTGGTCCTTCCTGGACGTGCTCGAGCTACTGGACGGCTACGAGTCGAGTTTCGGCCACTACTACGTTGATCTGGACGACCCGGAATTGAAGCGATACCCGAAGCTGTCGGCGAATTGGTATGCCCGGTTCTTGAGGGGGAAAAGCGTCGGTCCTGAACCTGGTGCTCTCATCGAAATCGGGAACAACCCATCTACTGCCAACAGCAAGTGAAAGCAAAAGCTAGTCAGTCGTCGCGGCTCAGGGAGCTTGATGTTATTTCGTCACACTGGACAGACTTGTGATCTATATTATGTTTGGTTGGACTTCTTCTCGCCTAAGTCATATCGGTGATGTATGGATATGTTCAATAATCATATATTTGAAGCAAAAGTTTCGAAGAACGATTGATGGAAAGTGACAAACATTGCATCAGAGGATTTACCATTCATCGCAAATGCGACATAACTAAAGGTCAATTGAAGGCTTAATGAACAAGCTCGAGAACATATAGGCCACGAAGAGACAGAACTGGTAATAACAGTGCAAGTCTAGTCACCTTGTATGCACGAACAGAATGCAACCAAGTCTATCAGAGAGAGGAAAGCCATTTGTTGGTGTCATTATGTGTACACACTCCATGATGATCTATGATTTACACAACTGCTATTCTCGGAAGGGTTTATTAGCTTTCGATTTTTGGCCTCTTCACGATCAGCACGGTGCAATGAGCGTGATGAGAGCAGTAGTCGCTGACGCTACCCGAAACAGCCCTGCAGGGATAAAGCGCATTCTCTTATTGTCAAATGACACAGATAAAAAGAGAGAGATCTACACAAATCCGTCCAATGGAAGCTCGCGTAAGCTAACAACCGCTTCGCTCTCATGGTAAAAACTCAACAATCCCATTAACATGTTTTGAGGAGGGAAAAAGGAACAGAGAACATGACTTAATTTGCCATGAGATCTAAACTTTCTATCTTTCTGTGTGCTTTGCCTTTTAGATACGAATGGAGTAAAGAGCGCATACCTTTTCATAGCTCCATGGCCGTGACTCCCAACGACTAGTACTGAAGCATGATGCTTTTCCACGGCATCGCAGAGAACGCTCCTAGCATCGCCCTCCATCACTTGGAAAGTTACATCGTGAACCTGCACAAGATCACCAAACGATAGACTGTCAGACGTTAATTTCCAAATAAGTTCAGATCCGCAGAGGCCCATAATACCACAAGTATTAATCCACAGGTTTGTCACATCTCCAAATTGTGCGCTGGCATCAAGAAATCACAACTAATTCAGGGGCATCGCTTGCGCGTGCAACTCCATAAGAGGATTCCCTTTTCACATCGAAGTGCGTAAACTATAAGGAGAATTATCCTTTTCGATTAATCTTTCTGGCCACGAGGTATCAAAGGCCAAGCTCCAAGAGTCCACCTCAAGCTGATACACCCACGATCACAAAGACACGAAAAGCCTATAGATAAGAGCACACTGTAGACACGGGTTTTTAACCAGTCATGTGCCCAGAGAGATCTGAAGCGATTTACCGATCTGCTGTCACAAATGTCCTTGGCCTTTTGAGTGACCCAAGCGGCTATTTTCCTCAAGTCGGCATCGACTATCGGCAAGACCTTTATTACTCCTGCGATATCTCCAAGTTCAATTACCGAAAATCACCACACAATAAACCGAGAGATAATAGCTCACTCTACTTGAGTCCCCTAGTAAGCACCCCAATAGAAATAATAATTGCTCAAAGTTCCAATGAAACGAACAATAGCACGCCGTGCGCCAAAAGACAAGCTGCGGATTATGCGTAGCTTATACGTGGGAAATGCACCAGACTAGACGTCCTAAAAAAACACTTTGCTTCGACCTTTTAAGTCTTGAAACGATTCATACAAGTATTGCCGTGTTCCTTCACACGAAATTCAAATTACGTCACGTCCAATTTGCCGTTAAAAACTATTCATAACAAGTTGTAGGACTCAAAAAACGGTAAGGTAATCACAAAGCTTTTCATTCACTGGTACTCTGTATTGTACTAGGACTTCCGGGACATTCGAATCTCTTTCTATACAGAGATCAGCGGTGAGGTTACTGGGACCGGCGACGCCGATAACAGAGGCGGGGCTGGGCTTGGCATGGACGACGACGAGCTTGAAAGGGAAGTGAGGAGCGAAAGGAGCGAAGAAGCAGTCGAGGGTCCACTGGAGAGCGTACAAGCTGAGCTCGCTCTCGTCCACTCCAACCACCATCACTTCTTCTTGTTGCCTCTCTTAGTTTAGTCTCCTCCTCCATGACGAGCTCCGACTGCGTTAGCTATTCCTGGCTCGCGCCTCACTCTTTCTTCCGACTTCCGAGTCTCTTCGAGAGCAATCAGACGCTTTTCTAGTAAAATATCATTGTACGTAAACCGACAGACTAAAGCAGCTGCATTACGAGAAGAGTTGACGTGGCTTTTGACAGGTGTTGAGAGAGTGAGATGCCATGCGGCACCTGGAATCATCGAGACATGGGGAAGAAAGAAAGGAGGGGCGTGAAATGTCGCCATTTGTGACAACTAAAACCTCTTGTAGGTTCAAAGAGAAACTACAAGCAACATCGAGAAAAGCCCACAAACGAGCCCCCCCTCAAGTCCTGACAGGCAAGAAGCAAATCACGAAAAGATTTTTTCCCATGAAGACAACGTATACAACTGGAACTGCTGTCCAAATTCTAGTATACATTTGGCCAAGAATTATATGGTCTGCGCCTTATTGAATGGACAATAGTGTGATTGACTTGTGTGATTCGGAAACATCTCCGGTATAAATCAGGGCCAGGACGTTTTCACTTATTCAAGCAGCGCCCCTTGGTTTGTGTCCTAGTGCTTGATCTTGGGCTTCTTCACAATCATCACGGTGCAGTGAGCATGGTGAGCACAGTAGTCACTCACGCTGCCCAGGACGGCCCTGGAAAAACGAGAGAAGCAATTCTGCATTAGGAATCAATAACCACAATCGGCACGAGAGTTGAAACAATGGCTTAGGCTCGTGGCAGTAAGTCCTCCACTACAATTCACAACAGGAATCCGATGAGCCATCGTCGGCACTGTGTTGCTGAAGAGAGTGAGTGAATATCTAGCCAGAAATCGAGGATAAGTATGGCTGTACCTTTTTATAGCTCCGTATCCGTGGTTGCCCACAACCAATATGGAAGCGTGGTGCTTTTCCACAGCCTCGCAGAGGACATTTCGTGCATCTCCTTCTCCCACCTCCAGTACAACATCATTCACCTGTAGAAGAACAAATTCATCAGAAAATTTCCAAGGTAACAGCATAACGCCACTTTCTGAAGCACTTGAATATGTTTTCCAAGAAAAGCTATGTGTACAAGCTTCGGTATGAACCAAGTAAAATGAGAACCAACTAAATTTTAGAGCAAATAATGCAGAAGCCACTCAATTAGAAATGGCAGGACAAATATGTTTCTAATATGTGCATACACAGAGGTAACTATATTATATTGGGATATGCACAAAAATATTCAGATATCCCATAAGTCACTAATTCTTGTCCCTGTTTATGCAAAATGAAACTGCTAGAGTTAAGTTCTTAAAACTTCACCTCATGTATCCAGGAGCACAAAAGTGTCGAGGATTTATACACCAAGTCATGACAAAACCAGCAATTTCCGAAATCTATCTAGAAATAAAATAGATTGTCGAATTAATCTTCATAGTGGCATCAAGGCATAGACCATGGACAGCATGTTGTAATGGAACCAGGGGTTTCTGACATCTGTTTGCTAGCATGAAGTTTTCTTCGGTAACAGAAAGAACAGGCGGTCGTCGTAATCGTCAGAGCCCCATGAAAATTTAATCAGTTAGTACAACAGAACCTTCTCAATCAGTCAGGTTTCGACCGTTTTACTTTTGATGAAGACTCTTTGAGGTGTATCTTCTCCTCAAGTCTTCGGAAATGCTTGCATTAAACGAATTTCAGTAGACATCATCGCAGGGCATGATATCGAATTACCAATAAAAGGAGATGTCGATTGAGTGGGCTATCCCACAGTTGAATGGGCAGCACAGAGCATCCTAGGTGGCTAGGTTCAGGTCAATAGTCACCTTGGTGCTGTGGATTTAGCATTGCTTCAAACCAGTAGGCTAGGCTATAATATATGAGGAGTCAAGCTGTAGCTCAAACTCCTGTGAAGATACTCAATATGGTATGCTCTAAATAATGCTAGCTACTGTGTAAGCTAACGAGGGTGAGGACTACTTCCATTGTATCTACGGGGAATTGCTACAGGTCGGTTGCCCTCACCGCCTCTTTGACGACATCAAATTTGATCATGAGAGTAGTTAATAATCACCTAAGCTGTGCCAAAAAAGGCCAAAAGCCAATCCCAAAAAAGCAATAAAGCTTCATAAGGTGAATTGTCCAGGATCAATGCAGGTAGGCCGCATCGTTGCTGTAAGAATTATATAACCTCTTGTAAAGACAAGTGCCTCATCCATTGCCCACATTATTGTCCAATATTACTCAAGCATCTTGTTCTTTAGTGCTTTAGTTGCTTTGGGCCTTCGGCCAGTAAAATGAGACAATTCACCTTCCCAGAATCATGATGCATGCTTTGTAGATTCGGAAGACTTGACCTAAAAACAAGGCCAGTTCATAAATGCCCACAGATGTTCATCTTAGCTTTTCCTTTAAGTGTTAGAAAATGCCTTTATCTCCAATATCTCAATCTCTTTAGAGAACAGAAAAGGTTCTTTTCTTATTTCCTAGTTCTTTCTTGGCACACATTTGATGCTTGTATCAGACCAGAAAGTTAAATTTTTAGTGATGGCTGGCTTATGGAACTCTCCCTTATCCAATTGTCTACTGTACGATCATCAAGTTGAAGCGCTTATAGATTGTCAATTTAAAGATAATCATTCAACTGATTCTCTATCAATCCCATGTATCTTCTATCTGCAGCTACAATCCATTCAAGAATAAATCCAGCTAAGCTACTCAACCACGACAGGACTGGGACTTGTTTCCTCGTCCCGCAGCATTTCTCTAGCAGAAACGCCAGCAAAACGCGAAATCTCAGCTTCTACGGCCCCGGGAAAAGACTAGCCACCATCTAAGTCCAAAGTCTATCGGGCCTTACCGACTTACTGCAGCAGATCTCCTTGGCCTTCTCCAGAACTCTGGCCGCGATCTTCTTGAGGTCCGCCTCCACGAACGGCAGAACATCAGCCGAGCCTACAAGATTCCAACACCGAAACCAGGCCGAATCAGAGCCGAAATCCCTCTAAATCGCGCGAACGCGAAAACCAAAGCTCGCTGAGCTCGAAAGCACCGCGAGGCACAGCGGACGGTCGCGATTTTACCGGGGCCGGCGAGACCGACGGCGGAGGAAGCGGAGGGCTTGGCGTGGACGACGAAGAGCTTGAAAGGGTGGTCGGGCGCGAGTGGAGCGAAGAAGCGGTCGAGAGTCCACTCCAGCGCGTACGCGCTGTGCTCGCTGTCGTCGATCCCGATCACCATCGCCGGCTTCTCCGCCATCGCCGCTCGAGCTCCGATCGGATTCGCGCGCTCGACCCGTTTCGCTCCGGTCGAGAGAACGCGAGCGGAGTTCGAGTTGACGATTGGTCCGCGAGAGCTAAAGCTGCAAAGAGAGAGAGAGGGAATGGCGAATCGTGTTCTCGCGAATGATTGCGGGTGATGAAAAAGCCGAAGGGGAGGCGGGCGATGCGACGCTGCATCCGCTCTCAGTTTTCGGCATTCGCGGGTGGGCGAATCTGAGCCGTCGATCAGCAGCGATTTATGTATCCACGTGTTTGTCCATATGCGGACGCGTGGGAAATTGCGTGTTTGTCGTGTTTGTCCACGAGCGGCTACGTGAGATGCCTGGCCACGACTAGATGGGATTGGGATGGGAGGCCACGCAACTATAATTGTATAGTTATATTTCTAATTTTAGATGGATAGAGGAAAGACATATGGTTGATCGGATGAACCAGTGATAAGGCGCTTACGAGTTACGATAACCGTTTTATTTCTGGTAAGATCCGTTTTTCTGTTTCTAGAAATAGATTTGGAATAGAAATTCGTTTGATAGCGCAATTTCACTTTTCTATTTCCTCCATAAATAGATTTTGAACGAGAAATGAGGAGTAAAAATATTCTACTTTTTTTAATCCTAGAACAAAAAGAGAAACAGCCCTCACCTCCCCCGGTCGGCCACTGGCCACAACCTCCCCCACCGCCCGTTGATGAATGGAAAAGAGCGTAAGAGGGATATATTTAAGAAGGCCTATCAAACGAATTTCTGTTTCTGGAAGAGATATCTTGTGTTGTTATTAAACACATATTTCCGTTCAGAAACTCGTTCAAGGAATAGAAGTAGAAAAAATCTATTTTTGGTGAGAAATTTATTCTAGGAGTAGGGTGGTTATCGTTCACGGCCCTAAGTGGCTCAAAATGAAATTTGACAATTCAAAACAAATCGGTGGCTTTAGATAGGTAACTCAAATAAAATGAGCAATTTTGTATAAGAGTTGATAAGGTGGCAACATCAATACAAATACGATAAGAGTTATTGGGAAAGGGTTGAAGACCAAAAAAAAATTAGTTGGTCGATTCATCGAAGAAAAGTTAACACTTACTCCAAGTAAAGATATATGAATATCGCGCATAAGGGATGCCAATTCATAGAGCTCTCGTAAGGTACACTAACAAAAATTTGGTAATTTATTGCAACGACCTACAATCGAATTTGGTAATCAATATTGGCAATTGGTACTCGGACATTTCCGACCAAGTTTTCCGTACTCTCGAGGCAAGCGAGCCCCGATTCACATGCACCCTCGGATCTTTTGGATCTCAAGTACCGCCTTTCTCATCTAACGGTGCACGAGAGTTGCACTAACATGCACCAAGTTCCACTCGGAAAATTTGTCGCGTTTCTTCACTTGTCGGGCAATAACACAATGCTTACCACTGCTTCTCTTAGTTAAGGAATTAACACTTGACAAGTCATTCAATCGCATTTCGCAAAAAACGAAAGAAAAAGACATGAAATAAGCAGAAATTTTCTTTAAAAACTTGGATAAATTTATTAGGTACTCACATCCGAGCCGAAACAATACTTTCTTCTCCAAGTACAGCACAACAGTTCTATGATCTATATGATTGTAAGATCCTCTTGATTTAGTACAGAATCTAACGACGCATTTTGCGCCTGAATTGCCCTGATATAACTGGTGTTCCTACTCTAAGGAGCTTAGCTAGAATTACAGGATTCGACGTCGTTTTTCGACATCTTTTCACGACTGTTGATCGCGACAACCCGGGCCCGAGAAATCCCCGGTATTGATTTTCCCTTTTGGACGAGTAGGGCAGGAAACTGTTGGAAACTGAGCAACGGACGGTGGTTGCACTCATAACCCGGACGAGCGGTTTGCATACTCCTGGACCAATGCTCCGAAAAGCGAAGGCCTTTCGAGCAACGCCGAAGGTGTATCGAATTCCATTGCTCTTCCTGTCAAAGTACAAGAAAACTTCTATGTCAAAAATGTCTGCAAGTGAAGCAAGTTACTGGGCATCTGCAACATTAGAAAACAAAAAAGAAGAAGAGAGAAATAGACATATGATTGATTATGCTGAAATATATCCAGTGAACCGAGTTTCAAGGAGGGAATGTCGCACCTGCATCGATGACTAGGACGCGATCACAGTCCATGACGGTGGGGATTCTGTGAGCAATGCTGATAATCGTGCAGGTCGCAAAGTCCTCCCGGATGATCCTTTGGATCACGGCGTCGGTTTGCGAATCCACGGAAGCGGTCGCCTCGTCCATGAACAAGAGGCGGCTGCGCTTTAGCATCACCCTCCCTAGGCAGAGAAGCTGCCTTTGTCCCACACTCCAATTGTCTCCATTGTCAACCACTGCAAATTCCAGGTATATTGATAAATCTTTGGCTGCTAAAGAACAAAAACAAGATTTCACCATCACAATCTTCATCAATGACAAGTTTCGTACCTAAGGAATCGAGTTTATCAGGTTTGGAAGCGATCACATCCTTAAGCTGGCACCTCTCTAGGCTCTGGCATTGACAAAGCCAAATGTGAGTTGTAAGTCCAGATGCAAGGATGCAAAAGGAAATGAGAAAAAAAATATCACAACTTCTCTAATGTGATCCGCGATGCATCAGAAGCGTAATTTGCCGTGGCGAACATGAAGTATGACATTCTCATTATAGCAAAACAGAAACATACCTTCCATATCTCTTCATCGGTGTACTGTCCGACTGGATCGACGTTGCTCCTCACAGTGCCCTCAAACAGGACGGGCTCTTGAGGGATGATCCCAAAGCGGGAGCGGAGATTGTGAAGTCCTAGAGTGCAAATGTTGATGCCGTCTATGATTATCTGCCCTCCTGTCGGCTCCACCAGCCTAAAGAAGACTTGAATGAGAGTGGACTTGCCGCTCCCTGTACGACCGACGACACCAATCTTCTCGCCCCCATGAATGCTAAGAGTAATTCCCTTGAGCACCAAAGGCGTGTTTGTACGATACCTAACCTGCTTGCAGATTGCAGATGATTATTACTGTACCATTCAGAAAAGATTAAAAACAGCCATCGCCGACAAATCAGAAGATTGACAAACACGCCTAACTATATCTGTACTGACAAATCCATTTGAAGGATACTCATAAGTCAAGTTACCTGCAAGTCTTCGAGATCAATATTGCCCCGAGAAGGCCAGTTCGGAGGAGGAAGGCGATCTTTGATTTCCCACGCCGCTTCCGAAGGAATGTTCGCAAATTGCTTTATCCTCTCAACCGAGACCATCCTGTTCTCCACGAAGCAACTCATATATATGGCCCAGAAGAGGACAGCATTGAGGGACAACCCGTAGGAGAGAGATAAACCAACATTCTCTGTGGAATACAGTAAGATGTCAGGCGATTAAAACTAGAGATGCATTATGTGCCTGCTCGGAAAGCCCATAACAAATCCAACACATAAGGGATGTCCATAACTTAGTTTCGATTTCAGTTGAATCTACTGACTCGATGTATGTGCCAGAGTCATCAAGAATATCAAAATTTTTAAACCAGATAGTACCATGACATTTACAAGATGCTCACTTAACAAATGGAGAAGTAAATCTGGTATATATAGAGTCGACATCATTTTGAGTTTTTTGATCATCATAAGAGGAAACGCCTAGCAGATTTTGAGTCGCGTGGAGAGAGAGACTATTTGAAATACACAACACAACCAATGTTGTCATGCTAAATGTTTGGTGTTTGTGTGATCGTGTGTAACCTAAATTGTACCTGGTCTGATAATGTTGCTGGGTAACAAGACCATGAACGCAGCAGAAATGCAGAGCATGAAGCTTCCAATCAATTCCAGACGGAAACCCAGCCACTCGTTGGATCCATTGTTGTGGAAATCCATCCGCAGATTTGCATTAACACGATTCACATTCTCTTGACTGAACCTATCCTGCTTTCTGAAAGAGCGGATTGTCATGACGCCGGCAATGCTTTCCGAGAAATGATGGATTACTGGAGCTTTGGTGATCGAGTCTAGGCGCGTCAGTTCACGAGACGATGAAAGATAGTATCCCTAGGAACAAGAAGCGACTGATTCGTTAATGCAATGTTTACGTAGAAGAGACCACTAAAATTATTGGCTCTCTTTTACAGTAGGCCATATTAAATTAGGCCAATCAAGTGGCAAGTTTTTTGGTAAGCAACGAATGAATTTGAATGCTTATACTTCCCAGATCAAGTATATTCAAAGTATTCGCGAAAAATTAGCTAACTACAAAGAAAAAGCTCATACCCTGTACCAGAAATTTAGCCAGCCAAGTGGTACTATCAAGAAGACGGTCGGCCAAGCATATTGGCACGTGATGATGAAGATACTGAGAACCGTGACATACATGGCAATGGCCATTCCCATGAGAAAGGGAATGAAGATGTCAACGTTTGTCTGATCAGTCGATGCCTGCAGAGCGGAAAATGACAGCCATCACTAAGACACTCTTCACATAAACCGTTATGTACAATCAAAAGACATGCACAGCCTATTAGGGTCAGCCGATCCTTCCTTACCCTGGTTAAAATTCTTCCTGAAGGCGTGGTGTCGAAGAATGACATTGGGGCGTGCAAGATGCTATGGAGTATTTGACTGAAGAAGATCTGTGCTGTCTTCAGCCCCAAAATGGTAACAGAAAAGGCTCTTAGCAGAACCAGCAAAAAGGAAATACCAGCAATGATTGCATAGATGCGAATGAATAAAGAAGGGTTGAATAACGAAGCACGCTCTTCTGCAGTCTCATACGCGAGCCAATAATCTCCGGCCATTATGGACGACTGCCATAAAAGTGAAAGCAGCACCACTCCCACCACACCCCACCATCCAAAGGCTTCAGTGCAGTACAACTTATACACGCGCAAGCTGACTCGACCAGTCTCTCTCTCCTCGTCTTTGATGAGCTTCGAACTTCCCTTATCAGACTTGACTTGGTCTAGAGCCTTGTTCTCGCTGTTGGCTTCCTCGCCATTAGCCTGAGGCCTTTGCTGTTTTGTCAGGGAATTCTCAACCTGCGCAGTGGTGTGTACATCCACGAGCTCCATGGAAGTTTCATGGGCTGCCACTAATGCTTTGAAATCCATGCCAGAGTCGAGCAACTCGTGGTACTTTCCTGATTGCACTATCATCCCATCTCGCATCACCTATGAAAGAACACACCCCATTTAAGAAAAGCAAGGCATGTTCAAATGTTGTGTGGTTAGGGAGAATTAGTAAAGCGTGCTCACCAGTATGAGATCGACATTATGCAAAAAGTCGACTTGGTGAGTAACAAGTAAAATGGTCTTGTCTTTAAGAGCTCCTCTAACACATTCCTGCGTCAGGAACAAGCATCAATAGATGAGCATCCTAGTTCTAGTTATATTGGCGATATCATTATGATCAGACCAAGACAGCGGACTTAAATCATTGCGTTACCTTAAATATTTCTGTCCCGGTATGGGCATCCACAGCACTAAAGACATCATCGAGAAGATAGGTATCGCAATCCTGATAAACAGCTCTTGCTAGCTGAATACGCTGCTTCTGGCCCCCACTGAGGTTGATGCCGCGCTCTCCAATCTCAGTCTGGTCTCCATACTCCATCATGTCCAGGTCCTTCTCTAAGCAGCAGACTTTGATTACTTCCGTGTACCTGTCTTGGTTCATAGGCAAACCAAATAGGATATTCTCTTGGATAGTCCCATTTTGGATCCATGATGTTTGAGCAACATAGGCACTTGTACCACATATCCTGACCTGAAAAGACACAGATGTTGCATTGACATTTGATTTGAGTAATTACAACAAACTTTAGTCTTGAAATTCATAAAGCAGAACCAACAAAGTTTCACTAAAAAAGGTGACCAGTTATTGCTTTATCAGAAACCATACCTCCCCCGATATCTTGTGCATCTCACCAAGAACTGATGCCAGGAGAGATGACTTCCCGGATCCAACAGTCCCGACAATAGCGGTGAGCTGACCCTTCTTAATCTTCATGCTAATATTTTTCAGGACTTCCTCTCCGTTTTCATCGTCCCAGCTAAATACTGCGTCCATAACCTCCACCGCAATACCATCTCCACAAAGTTCCACTCTTTCCACAGAACCGTCCACTAACTCTTTACTCACCATGTACCGATCCAGCCTTCCCAAGGATATCATTGCCTGTGAGAGAGAGATCATCGATTGCGGGAAGGTCCTTATTGGCTCCTGCAAAATTTTGAAAATTGTTGTGGTGGTGAAGACCGTACCGGCATCAAGATGAACTCCCAAGAAGATTGCGGCACCAAATGTGATGGTTGATATCAGCAATGGCGTGCTCCACATCACCACAATATTGCCAGACACCGAGTACATGAACTTGCTGAGCCAACTAAACTCCGATTCACGGAAACTTTGGATCCTCTTGTTGAAGTGTTCTTCCCATGCCTGGAACTTAATCACGCGCATGTAATTGAGCATCTCGTTCGTTGCTTTCATCCTCGAGTCACGATTCTTCATCACATTATACTGAAATCTGTTGTTTCGCCGAGTTCCAAACACAACAAACACAAAAACAGCAATGATTCCAACAACGGCAGCTATAACTGCTCCACCGAGGTAATTGTAGAGGAGCACTAAAGCAACACCGACTTGCAAAGGCATCAACCATATGGAATGTAACTGTAACATCATGTCTGAGAGTTGTTGGGCGTCGACTGCCATGTAGTTCACAATCTGCCCAACCCCATGAGATTGGCGAGCTGAGCACGATAACCTCAACCCTTTCCTGTAGAGCGAAGTAATAAGGGTGGATCTGATGAGCATTCCCAGCTTTTGCGAGTTGAAGTTGAATTGGTGGGTGGTCAAGACTTCGATGGACTTTGCGACAAGAAGGATCAATACGAGGTAATAACCTTCATAAGGGGAATTTCCTTTACCAGCAGTGAAATTGACAAATCCTTGGATGAGAATAGGCCCTACATACATAACGCACAGCCTAACAATTGCGAGAAAGGCCGTGAAGGCAATTTCTCTCCAAAAGCACCGAACCAATGTGGTTCTAACTGGGTGCTTTGATTTTTCGTGGGGCTTAGGCCATTTCATTTCGAACAGCTCCGACATTCTTTCCGCTCTGTGCTCAGGTGATAAGGAAGGAACTTCGTCGATTTTGAGAGGCGATTTGTACCCTTTACTCAGAAGCGGATTCATCCAAAGCCAAAAGGCCTTGGACACGAACGAAGCCGATGCAAAGCTGGTCACATTAGATTTAGTCAAAAGCGGTTCATACTCTGCATCCATCTCTCCATCAGATTCTCGAGCCACCGCTATCCCAGTGGATCCTCTGATGGCAACAAGGAGAAGGGCAACAGACAGAGGGAAAGACACCATGGAGACTATGTCATCCAACCTCAAATCCTCATTGGGGGCTCCTTCTACCGAGGCAAAACGGACGACCCCGGAAATAGCAAACAAACCGATAATGACGAAACTCGCCGCCCAGTAAGCTCTAAGTGACAGTGGATGAGTCTTGGCTTCGAACCTCTTCTCATGGATGATAATCACAGTAACAACTGCATGAGTAATGGCCTGAACCAACCAAAAGAGAGCATTCACCAGCTTCCATGGATACTCCACATCCTTGCCGAAGGCAAGGATGCAGATGATGGTGTAAGAAAATGCTAATAGGACGGTCACAATCAGAGAGAGCTTGAACCAAACATTAGTTCTGAGAATAGCTCTTTGGTTTCGGATCAAGGGCTTATTGAAGTCGGGAATGGAGTGACCCCTGGAAGAGAATCTGGAGAACAGCTTGAGAAGAGAGAATACAAGGAGGGCGAATAGGAAGAGAACGTCAATGGAAGAGAGCAGAGCTCTCTGGGGACATGGGAATAGGAAGATGAACTTCAGCCAATGAAGTATGAGTGAAACAGAGCCATTGTTCTCTGGGGATTCAATCTCTGAGGTTGAACAAGAGAGGGAAGAAATCCAAGATCCAGAAGACATATTCACACCCTTCAGGAAAAATAAGCCAGAAATCAAGTTCTCTGCCCAGTTCTCATCAATCTCTCAATCTCACTCCCTGAAGAAAAAGCAAAACGATCCATTTGAGAAAGTTAGTAAGAATTTATGCCATGACCAATAAAAAAAAAGCAAGAAAGACCCACTACAGAAACAGAGAATTATATCGAAGAAAGTGAATCATCAGTCCTAGAAGGCCAAGAAACGAGGGAAAAATCAGTACCACCTTTCTATTTAACAGAAAAAAAAAAATCTCGGCTCACACAAATTTTGGAAATCTGACAGACTACTGGAGAAGCAGAGGATCAGAGAAGGCTTGAGAAACTGAGATATGCTAGTGCTGTATAATAGCTCGGCGCTAACATAAACCTTATATACGTTCATTAGCTCGTAACAAGACGGGTAGTTTTGAAGATTAAATAGCTGCATCTTTCAGCTCCCAATCATCACATCTTGTCAAGACTTGTAAGTGAACATTACTTTAATCACTTTATTACAGCACAATGATAGAAGGGTTGAAGCAATGACACATAATTACAAGCCCGCTGTTGGATTACGTTCTTCGGCCTGTCGGACGATAAACCGCAACACAACAAGCAAAAGACAACGAGTAAATGAGTCGAGAGGAAAAAATAATGATACCTCGCCAATCAAGAAACCAAAAAGCGAATTGCGAAAGCGGGACTTGCCATGTACAGGCGATGTAACTAAAAGTCTACACACACCGTTGAATCTTGGAAAGACATCGAAAAGGGTTTTAAGTTCAAGGCATATTTGTGGAGAGCAATAAGCTGATCAGAGAAAAACAGAACGATAGAGAGCAGAGGGGTTGAAGTCATTCGGCTTCGACGTGTATCGCACCTCGAGGGAGAGAAGGGCCACGGCCTCCAAAACGACAAGAGCGCCCTGAGGGGGTCGGCCGAAACGACGGCGCGCGGTGGGGGCGTGACGGAATCCGCGCGCTCCAGGTCATGGGCCTGCAGCTCCTGCTCGTCCCGTATGCATCAAACTCCAGAAGAAGACGCACATCAACGCAGAGGGAGGGAGGGAGGGAGGGAGGGAGAGAGAGATTGCGTCAGGAGAATGAGTTGTGCATGGCAAGCGGACAACAATATATGAACAAGACAGACTCGATACGAACTGTTGGTTCTAACTGAAATCAGTGAAATGAACGGTGTTGAATTTTCTTGACGGACGCCATGGTCAGAGAGAGAGAGAGAGAGAGAGGAAGGGAGAGGGAGGGAGAAATTAGAGCAAATCAATAAGTTCCTTGTATGTAATGGCAGAGGAGAAGGTATAGTGTGAAAAATGGGAAAATAATACAGGGAAAGCTGAGCTGTTGTGCTTAGAATTTATGACTTACCAAATAACGTATCTTGGCACGACCATTTTATAATAATTAAATAAAATAAAACTGTAGTTCGTCATGATAAAATTTTAGGATCAAAATTTATTTTTCACCATCTTCACCAACGAGCGACGCAAGATAAACTAATCAGGATGCTTTACTTCGACATCAACTGTACAGTGTTTCGATTTTTTGGAACGGAAATTTGCGTCATCAAAGTATGGAAAATTTTCCCGGACTGTACCGGTGGCAAAAAAGGAAAGTCAACGCTGGGCTGATCACGGGATAAGTGTTGAAAAAGGAGAAATTATTTTCATTTTTCGGTCCACCGGTGATAAATCGAGCGAGAAATTCGAAGAAGAAGAAGAAGAAATTGAACAAGGCAATGAAGTAGCGGTGTTCGATTCGCACATGAACTCACGTGTTGGCCAAGATTGGCGGGATGCCCATTAAGAAGCAAAACCTAAAATCCCACGTGCGGTGACATCGCGTGGGTGCACTTTCAGGTGGAGGCGGTGACCGTTCTTGCCTGCCCATGCCGACAGTTACGCTTCGTGAGTACTACATGTAACGGTCCATTTTTAAGGTGCAAATCACTTGCAACAACGTTCGACAAGATTTTGTGGCAATCGGTATTCATAGGGTGCGTGCAACTCAAAGCTTGCATAGTCCGGATTTTTTTCACTACGGTTGTTAAGAGGGTGAAACGAACTGTGCATGCCTCATCTTAATACTTTAGCCCATTGCAAAAGAATTCCAGATAAAAAAGAGGGTTTGCCTTTCGAGATACCGATAAGCGGGGCAAGAACCTCACACTCTAAACGCATCTATAGCCGCAACAAGTAATCCCAGGTCATAAAAAAGGTTATGGATATTATTGCATCGGTACCAAATAGTGAAGAAAAAAAAAGCTTTCGGTTCACCAAAAAAAATCAACTCTAATCGCGTTTCGAGGCAAAATTCTAAACTTAATCGATGGTACTTTCCAGGTCCCCCGCCAGCCCCATTGATGTGATTAACTTCCCAAAGTGGGAAAAAGCCAATCGATATCGAAGGTTAGGCAGCCGAGCTAATGATAATTCTGGCCATTACGTGAAATCGCAGAAAGTGTCCTCCCTTTCTTTTTATCGAGCATGGTGACGTGGCGATATCTGGACCAAGCAGCGGCCGGTGGTCAGGCTGAAGGGGGGGCGACGTGCTCAGACGCGCGTGGTTGTGCGTGGTCAAATCTGGGCTGCGAAATTTGCGGTGTTGAAGTGGGGAAGAACGCGGTGCTGGGCGGGGCGGGGCTTTGTCTTGGCGTTCATCAATGCTTGATTTTTGACTTTGACTGTTCGGGGCAGGGCTCCGAATATTCTTCTCCGGTTAGATAGAACATGGTGTAACCCTCCCAACTTGGAATCGACAGACCTCTTTAAAAAAAAAAAAAAAACTCAAAAAAATAAATTAATATATATATATGTATATTGAACAAAATGAATTTTGAGTCCACGTGACTAGAGGCTGGCTCACACTTATTAAATTGTAACGCCATTCTTAGGGGCACGACTCGAGATCGAATCTCGACGAGAGTAGTGGGTGGCGAATTGATCATAGTAGCCTCGGCGTTGCACGCGCGTGAAAAAAATGAGGGCTGGAATCCTCTAATTTCAAGAGAAAATGAGGTGATTGGACTAACTTCTCATAAGTAGTGATCAACAGATGAGCAGCGCGGTCTAGGCGCGTGAGCTAAATGGACAGGGTTGAACGAAAATCTCACGTGAGAAAGCCCTCGGCCCAGAAAAACCATTCGTAAATTTTTATGATATGGGTAGATGTAGGCAACATGTTATTTCTAGCCTGGCCTGAGCCTCTATTATGAATGTATTTCGAAAATGCCATAAAACTATAAGTTTTCGCCACATCGATTTGAAAAACGTGTCTCGATGATTAGCTTAAACACCATCGACTAAACTACAAATGTTTTTGCTTCTATTTTTGTTCCCCTTCTTTGCGATTTTCTTGTAAAAGGGCATTTGATATTTTTTGAATATGACAGATATTCTTTGTCTGGTAAAACATGGTTTAATCATGAGAATTTGGAATCGACACGCCTAGAGGCGGAGGGAGTTTTAAATTAAGAGAAAGTTGCGGTATGGTAATTTCCATTTTGCAAGGCTTGCACCTCTTAATCAAATTACTCGCGCGAGGGAGAGTGCTAAGTGCCCAATCTACTACAATTGACGTGGGATTGCTTCTTTAACAAAGAAGAAAAGAGAATTGAAATCCTCTTTATTTTAAGATAATAAACAGGCATACCCTAAATTGATTGGATAAACTTCTTCACACATCGATGGGAGGACGCATCTCGATCGTTCCTTTATCAATTTGACTAAGTCATTCGACACCGTTCGAACATCTGACCCATTCTTGTAGAGTGCGATATCGACACACCTCAGCAAAATAAAACACAAAATCCTCCAAGTTACTCCTAAGAGGTGAATGTCATGTAATCTAACTAGTTATATCTAATTTAGCAAAAAAAGAAAGAAAAAACCAATTTCGCTTGTCCAAAAATCAGCAAAAGGACATATAAAAAAGTGGGTGGACTTGCACATTCATATAAAATCAGAAGACCCGGATGAGATCCTTGCCCACCACGTTTCTCCAAATATAAGTCGCCAAAAAAAAAAGGTGGACGACTTCATTTAACCCTTTGAGGCTTTGACCCTATCAATAATCACAAGGAGACGACCCCCAAGTCCTTCTCTTTAATTTTTAGTTTTTGTTAATCATTGCATTAAAAAACAAAAACTAGTGACAAGGGAAGGGCCCGCCACCGCTCTTTGTATACACACATATGCACAACTATCATATTCCAACCCCATGACTCGTTTGTCCAATGAAACAAAAGATTTGAATTGTATGCGCCTGTCTTCGACAGGGAAATTGTTCGATCAGTCTTGAACATATTACACAAATGTCAATTTAGTCACGAATTTTTCAATTTTTACCAATTTAATCCTAAACCTTTATTCGGAATTCCCGTGTAGTCTTTCCGCTGCGTGTCTCGTGTGGTGGCCGGCGATGAATGGACCACCACGTTAGCGAAAGGCTCTGTTGGAATTTCGCGCAAAAATTTTGGACTAAAAAGTTAAAGAATTTAGAGCTAAATTAGTATCGATACCATAAATTCAAAACCGATCGAGTAATTTTTCCCGGTCGTCAATCCGACGAGTGGCTAAGGATGTTGTTTCTTTTCTTCTGGGTACGACAACGACAACCCCTTCATTTCTTTTCCCTCCAGGCAAATTTCTTTCTGCCCAAGCAAATTTCCGGGTCAAAAATAGCGAAGCTGATGTTGATTTGTCTTGCGAAAAACGACTGCTAAGTCATTTCGTATGCTATCTAGGGAGACAGGGACCCCGCAAAGCCTACAATTTTTTTTTTCTCACCCGGGTTTAAATCACGAGATGAATTTCTCGGAATCTTCTTGTTCACTTTATTTTACGTATTTTTTCCAGACAATATGAGGCTCTCTTCCACGGGTGTTGAACTCGCTCGCTTGTGCTTCGTGGTTTTATTGGTCTTCCCGAAATAGAAAGAGACGTGCTATGTGATAGTGTTTACACCAAAAAGTGAAAAAAAATCATGGAAATAGGCATCGGGAGCTTTGGCGTCGGTAACTTACCGATAGTTCGCAACTTACCGATAGTGGGTGAGCAGAGGATCGG